GAAGGCATTGCTAGATATTTACCACAGGAAAAATATTTTAAATTGTTGTTTTGTCTTATTTATCCCCCTCCTCTTTTTATTGTAAGCCGCCCAGAGTACTCCAGGAGTGGGCAGCGTACAAACCCAATAAACCCATAAACCCAAACCCATTAGTAGGTATATTTGCACTTTACATGAATAGAATTCAAGTGATCATAAACTACATGACACTGTATGATTTGTGTTTATAAACTAGCTATTTAAGTCATGGAAACAATTTAAAATATTTTTCCTGTGGTAAATATCTAGCAATGCCTTCAAAAAAATAGGTTGCATGATTCCCTATACATAATACAGTATATTTTTATTTCTTTTGTGGTTTCTTCTTCTGCCTCTTTTCTCTTCCTTTTTTCTCACTCGTTTCTTTTTTTGGGACCTTAAAGCAAAACCAACACAGCCTTCTAGATAAAGTAATTTATTGTTCGCAATTAGGGACATTAGATACACTAAACAAATGCCAAATTATTCGTTTCATTCAGTTTAAAGTAAATGTAACAATCTGAATAATGCAGGACCATCAACATTGGGAAGGGGGGGGGGAACTAAAGATGAATTTTCCATATTGAACAAATAGAGAACAGCAACACTGAGGTACGCTCAATTTCTTACTGCATAGATCCTTCCAAATTTCTGAGACTATTACTCTGCATAGCTTTTATAACATTTCATGAAAATTCACTATATTTAACTTAAAAGCAGCATATTACACATGCGCTGATCTTACAGAACGTGAGGATTCTTGGTCAAAATGTCCCAACTTCAAACTAGGGTTCTCCATGGAAATCAGTCTACACTGCATCGCCCTTGGCAATGAATTCAATTAGCATTCAGCTGTTGTTGGTATAGCATGAACATACAGAGTCTTTGTATTTAAGAACTTCATGGAAGTCTCCTTTGTAACCTCTAAAAAGAGAAGAAAAAAACATTTAACAGCATTAGCAACCATACTTTTATTATGCCTCACAATTAACACTGTGGATTCTTTTCTAAATAACACTCTGCTCTCCCCCTCCCTTCATGTTGTTTATCAGATTAAATGCAATTGCTGGGAAAGACAGAAGCATTTGAAGGGCTTTGTCACCAACGTGTGGGCAGCACATAGCTTTATTCAATGTTTTATGGAATACTTGAGTTACATGGCTTAATTATATCAAGAGAACGAACCTTATATTGGTTTAGGTTTGGTAACCTGATAATAGTTACATTCGGGTAATTAGGATCTGCAAGGGAGTATTTCAGTATGCCACAGTTGAGAGAGCTGCCACATATAGCCCAAGGAGCTTCTCTATCATGTGCATCAGCCTTAGAATGCGCTTCTTATCTCACGGCATTAACCCTGGTGGTGCAGCAATTAGAATGCAGGATTGCAGGCAAACTCTGCCCATGGTGTGGAGTTTGATCCTGACCGGCCAAAGGTTGACTCAGCCTTCCATCCTTCCATGAGAGCCCAGATTGTTGGGGGCAATATGCTGACACTATAAACCATTCAGAGAGTGCTGTAATGCACTGTGGGGCGATGTATAAGCCTAAGTGCTATTGCTATCTGCACTTTGACACCTAGCTTTCATTCCCACATTCAGGATTAAACATCCACAACTGGATCACACTTTCTCCCCTAATTGCCTATCTTTCAGCACTGTTACCACAATTGTCAAGCTTTGTATCCTGTATCGCTATAGATCTGGTCTCCACTTATCTCTTAACCCCTTACCAGGAACTGCTTTACTATAGAAGATTTGCAGACAATAATGAAGCCATCTAATACAGAAAAATCTACTGCAGTCAAAGTCGATGTAAAGTAAAAATTTATTGCTCCAGGTTTTAAACAACAGTCATTTTTTGGGTCACTAATTTGGGCCATTCCCTTCATAGTTTTAAGAATGGGGAGTAGATGAATAATGCTGTCTGGGAATGACGCTCCAGCTTCATTACTGGCAACGATTATATTGTATTTCTAAATTGGATTATTATTTGTTACTTGGCTACACTTTGCTTATTTTACAGATCTAATCTGCTATAAACATTCTCTGGATAACAGACAGACTACGTTATATACAAATTATGAAATAGCACAGGAAGTTATTATTGCCCTGAGCTCTGAACAAGGCTTGTTCTGAAGCCTCTTTGAACAACCTGCTTCATCAGATTGCAGCTACAAGGAAGCTTGCTCAAGGGTTACACCAATCCTGCAAGGCCTGGAACAAATTCTAGTTGGATTCCTGGCACTATTCAAAATACAGCTAAGGTATTAAAGAAGGTTTGCAGCAAACAGCTCCTACAGCTTTTGCAAATACCTTGTGCCTCTGCATTGCAGCTAAATTTGTTTAATCATATCTCAGACAATGAACTTTCCTCTTAATTCTAATAGTGAAAGTTTCATATTAATCTCTGAGAATTACTAAAAGTTGGAGAGCAAGTACTGCAGCATGACCACAGACGGAAAAATCTGCTGTTTTATAACCAATCATAGCTAACAGAGGTCTTCAAAAGGCTCCTTAGACTTTCATTATTTCAGGTATAAATTCATATACTCGCTATTCCCAGCAGATTATCAACAGATTTGGGATGGGGGAATGGAGAACTACCTGATATATGTATGTTTATCCCATCTTACTGTGTTTAACAGATCTGCTGTTTTAGGATTACAAGATTAATTTTATCTTGGATTCTCTTTTAATGAAAAAACATAGTTTCTTGAGAAGGGGATCAGATCTTGACAGCTAAAATTAAACTTTTTTTAAAAAAAAGCTATACAAAATGTGCTGTGCCAATTATATTTAGTTAATTTGGAGTTTATATCATGCAGATATTAAAATGTTTACTCAAAAATTAGTTGAAACAGAGGAACTGTAATAGCACTGCAGTAGTTAAGTAAGACTAGCTTTTATATAAGTATATCCAAAAATTGTAGTTAGAATGCAGGGAAGTCGGAGGGAGGAGATCCAGAGCATTCAGGGTCACAAATAATTTGCATTGCAGGACATGTGCAATTGCTTCATAAAGCGAAGCTAGACGTTTTGACATTTATTTCACTGTGGTCTAATGAATTCTGTCATATTGAGTAGACACAGCATCTACAACAGATAAATTACATCTTCCTGCTTCTTTTATTATCATAACAATGACACAGAAATCTATCTGCTATGAAGAAGAGTTAGTTTCATCCTACAATGAAAAAAAAAAGAAAGCCAGGAACCACCATCAATTTTTCCTAAGACTTCCTTTTGTTTCCATGCATAAAGCCAGTTTTCTATCAAAACCAGACCAGCAGGAAACAATTGCTCAGATATTGAAAAGGGAAAGGTAAAAATAAAGGTAAATTGGTTCTGGAAGTTGACTGGTGAGCAATGCCATGACCTCAGCATAGGTTGTTATACTGTTGAACCTGCTTCCTCTTGGCAGTGTTGAATTGCTGAATTTTGAACTAACTGCAACTTCTGTGTTACCCTCCAGGTCAGCCCAGCATCAAACATGTCAACATTGTATTTTGTCAAATCAAACTTCATGCGTTAAAATTGGCTTCTGGCTTTCTAAATCACAATCTGAAATAACATATGCTTACAAGTTTATCACATGATTGATATGAGCATTCAAGTCTTGAGCTGTTAAATATTTAAGATCCTCTCCCCTCCCACACACGATATACCGTAATGCTGTATCTTTCCCATTTTATCTCTTATTTGCAATGCAAATGTCTATCAATCCAGAATAGATGTGCCAAGAATATTGTTTTATAACTCTTGGAAACTCAACAAGGGAGACAGGGCAGAGAGTGGGGGGAGGACAGGGGAGGGAAAGGGAGGAGAACATCAATGGAAATCAATTATTATTAACAATTTCCTAAATACTGCTTATGTCGTCTCCTCCATCATGCTACATTTTCAGGGAAAATACTGTTTTTATTATCTGGGATGATACAGTTATTATAGATCTCCTGTCTAAACCATTCACAAAGATGTCAATATGACAAATATGCTTGATGTGTCTATGCAAGAGTATCTAGAATTAGAACAATCTTTAAGTAGGTTATGGGCAGGCCCAGGCTCCCTTTGGACTTGGCTTTGGAGAAAGACATAAATAGCAATCATGGTGCTGAAATGATCTTTCCCAGTACTTACTCCATCTCTTCACACATAAATCAAGCTCCCTAAAATTCTGTGTTAATTATTCATACTTGAACAATCTGCCCTTTAAGTTCTGTGTGATGTAGAGAGCAATCAGAATAAGAAAGTACTCATAAAGTTTTATATCCATCCAAGGGAGACTAGAGGTGATCTCCTACTTTTTGCTTGATAGCTAAAATAGTGGAAAGCAGAATTTGGCGGGACTGAACCTATATTTATGGTAGTTCCTAGTAGAGACCATTTCTACAAATCACTGATCTGCCATTCATTCACTTTATAAAAGATATTCAATCCACAATACTGCAAATGTTTTCCTCATTTATTAGAATATTACATGGAGTGTTGTGGTTTAAAAAATGTCATGAAATCTTTTAAAAAGATATTCAACTAAAATGTGTCACAAGTTATATCTATCCCTGTTAGCCTTCTCAACTTCTTTCAATTTAATGCTGGATTTTAATATTTATAACTTAAACCAGATCACATATGCTAAATCAATAATTCTATGTCCCCAGAAACCCTAGAAATTAGGGCAATACCAAAACAAAGCTTTTTAGAATTTAATGCAGCATGTATTAAAAATTTAATATGTCATCATTCCCTATTAGCAACATGTTTAATCTTAAGTAAATTATAAAATTACTACTAAATTACAATTATTAAAGAAATATAAAACAAAAACAGTATCTTTTTCAGATTTACGAAGCAAGCAATATGCTGCTTCAGACTTTAGGCAACGGATTTGTTTGATAATAATCTCTTTATAGAGCTGGAATTGGATGAAACTTTTCATGAGTCTATAATATCTTCTTTTTCAGTTATGTTTTAATAATAAGATAATAAAATAAATGGCAATGAAAATAATCTGCAACAGAAGCAATTTTTGTTCTACTTCTAAGGCTAGTTCTATTTTTAAGATTTCATGAATCCTTTCTTTTCTCTGGACAATACTGCAATTTAATTACTTATATTTTGGCAATATTACCATACAGAACAATACTAACAGAACAGAAACAGAACTAATGAAGCAATATGAGCCCATTGATGGCTAAACTTCCAAGCTTCCAAGAATTTCCTAGCATTTTTGGATTTAGCTTAGTCTAGGATGCTCACAGTTTCCCATCTGTCCACATGTTGTGAGATTAAGGAGTTTTCATCATGCTTTGCAGGATCAACAGGCAGAAGATTGTTCCTGGAATTCATGGAAGCTTGGCATTCAGATAAATCAGCCATCAATAGACACATAAAGATAAACCATATTTGCATGCCATTCAAGAGACAAGAAAAAAAAAGCTAAGAAGGAAACAAAAAGACCAGAACACATCTTTTCCAGGAGTCACCACATAAGCAGAGATTCACATCAGACAAACAACCACGCAAGCAGAGGTCAAGGAATCAAAATTAAGGAATTACCAAGAACAAAAGCCACATCCTTGTAGCAATGGCAGAGCAAGCTATTATATATAAACAAAAAGCAAACTCCCACATTCACCAGCACAGATGATATTAGCTAGTCAGGCAATGAAAAATGCAAGCCAACATGCTCTGAGAGCACTAAGGACTCCACAGAACAATATGAATAGTATAAAGAGTAATATTATATATTATATTGACTTTTATAATTTAAAGACTCCTTATTTTATATTATGATGTTAAAGACACAAATCTAAGAATTTCAGGATAACAGTAAGTCAAACACTAAGTCAAAAGCTATATTATCTGTAACAAGCAGCAATTAATTAAATTCATCTAGGGAGGGTGCCATTCAGGTGTAATTTTAAAAAATGGAATCCTCAGTCTAGATTGGATCCACTGTTAAGTAGAATGGCATTAAAGGTCTACATCACATCATACAATCCCCTCTAAGTAGGAAATAGGAAAAAAGCTGTTGCAACTTATACCTTTCAAAGAGAAAATGTAGGCTGACCTTAATTTACAATCTCATCTTAGAAGCTAAGCAGGGTATAATTTAATACACTAACAACGTAGGTTTTTCCCCTCAATCTATGTACTTACCTTTTGTCAGCGCTTCATCCAAGAACAATTTTAGCCTCCTGCTTCTGAGTCCGAACATTTTGCCTGTTTCATGCAGAAGCCCTTGATATGTTAATCCATTTTGACCAACAGGGTTTTCCGTAAGAAGGGTTCCCACCGTTCCATTTAGACACTCTGGAGAAAATGAACTGTCTTAATTTTTAGCAAAAAACCCTTATAATTCCACAACATAACTTACCTTGTGCCCTATGAGGATGATTTTTCTTCTTTCTTTACAAAGCAATCCCATACCTACATCTGTAGAGCCCAGCTGGACACAACAAGATATACTATTCCTCCTTCCCTTTTCGATTCCACTTGTCTCTGGGCAGCAGAGAGGACAGTCTACCAGCAGCACTCCCAACTGTTTCCTAGAATCCAATTTTATACCACTTATCTGCACTTATCTGGAGGACTCAAGGATAACAGCAGCCACAAACATCACCTCTCCCTGGGGTCTCGACTGATGCCAAACTAGAAACCCAGATGGGCACAGTTCCAAGAGAGGAAGAACCTTCTCCAGAGTCAGTCAGGTTTTGGTTAATTTTTGGTTAAATACTTATTGAAAGACCAGACTGCAATTATTTTAGAGATTGACTAAAGATTTTGTTTTACAAAATCATCTGTCTTATAAACAACTTTTGTTCTATTAAAAGATTAATTGAAAAATGTTTCTTTAACACAATTAATTGGTGTAGGTTGTGTACTGTGATGCTCAGACATGTGTGGCTTCTACCACTGAAGCAAGAAAACTATCTTCAAGATAGGGTTAAGTAAAGCTGGACTTCAGGAAAGGTCAGAAATTTCAAATGTTAATAAAGTAATCTACCATCAGACAATTAACATTGTATGTGACACACCTTGTGGTTTTGCATTCACTAGTTGTAAATTGATATACTGACATAAAAAGTCATCAATACTGTTTGTAATTGGCAATGGCCCTGCAGTTACATGAAGCTTCTTTCCATTAAGACTCAGCAAATCTGTTTGTTTTTTCACTTCTGAAAAACAAAGAAAATGTTGTTAGAATCAAAACTTTGAGCAATATCACTCCACTACACACATGAGCTGAATGTTCCTTTGTAGGGATGTTCCATTTCTTGAAGACTTACATACAAGCTAGAAACATGAATAGTGAAAATTAGTATCACATAGTATTGAATTGGCCTGAATATTTCCAGATCAGTGTTTCTCAGCTTTGGCAACCTTAAGACATGGAAACTACTAGCTGGGAAATTCTATGAGTTGGAGTCCATTTTTTCCTTCCTGTTTTACCACTTCGCGTGTCAAGAGAGATAAAAAGTTTTGGTTTTTGCTCATCTGGAAGCCTCAACCATTGATGTTGTAATGTTAATCTGTTAATATAAATTGTTAATCTGTTAATTGGAGTTGGAAGGGACCTTGCAGGTCATCTAGTCCAACACCCTGCCCAAGCAGGAGACCCTACATCTGCCTCTACCTAGGATCGAACTCACAACCTCCTGATTGTGAGGCAAGAGCTCCACCTCTAGGCCATCCTCCATCTTCTTCTGGGTCTGCCTCATGTTCTTTGACTTTCTCCTCTTTTGTATATGCCTTGTACGGTATGGAATACCATGACATCCTCTCCAGGTGAGCAAATCACTTTATATGCTGTTTTTGTGCGTAGTTTAGCATTGATTCAATGTCGATTCTTTCTCTTATGGTCTCATTTCTGATTTTATCTCGTCTAGTCACTCCAGCAGCCTTCCTCAAACATCTCATTTCCATGGTAACTAACTTTCAGTTATGTTTTGTTGTAAGCGTCCATGTTTGGCATTGTTAGAGCCGAGGTGGCGCAGTGGTTAAATGCAGCACTGCAGGCTACTGCTAGATCAGCAGTTCAGCGGTTCAAATCTCACCGGCTCAGGGTTGACTCAGCCTTCCATCCTTCCGAGGTGGGTAAAATGAGGACCCGGATTGTTGGGGGCAATATGCTGACTCTCTGTAAACCGCTTAGAGAGGGCTGAAAGCCCTATGAAGCGGTATATAAGTCTACTGCTATTGCTATTGCTATTGTTAACATAGGATGGGGATGTTTTGCATGAGATGCTTCTTTGTGTTGATTGGTACTGTCTTATGTTGTAGGAGTGGCTGTGCAATTCCAGATCCACGTTGTGAAAGGTGGTAACAGAACAAAGTAAGGGATTGCTAGAATCGGGCGAAGTGTGGCATGTCTTATACTGCCATGAAGGCCATCCTGAGTTACCCTGAATGGCCTGGCCAAAGGGTCTCTGGTGAAGTTGCAACATGTCCAGCAAACTGGCAATGGATAATTGCTACAGAAATTATAATGACGTATAAACAGACTGTTAAACTCCATGTATTTTAAAATTGTCAAGGTTGAGAAACACAATTCTAGATTGATACCTATGATAACAGGCTGGATTAGAAAGTATTTGTTTGCCTCAAACTACGTCTGGTGCTGCGTATTGTACATGCTGTTGCAGATGGTAACATTATCAATGATCTCCAGTTATGGTAAGTTAATGTTGCTCTAGGATCATAGCCATGATGTCTTTCAGTATTAGTGGAAAAAGCCTATTCCTTTCATTCATCTAGGCATCTGGTCAGCTGCTGGGAGAAATTAGATCAGTCCAGCCCAGGCAACTGATGGACCCAGCAGGGAACTTGGGAGAGCTTTCTAAGACCCAGAAAAGTGATTTTGCTGAGTCCTTAGCCACTGCTAGTATGGGCAGGTGGGACAGAGACCGTAGACTGGATTGTTCTTCTATGACATCTCGTGTGTTGATCCCAGAGATCAACTCTGGATGAAAGGCAGAAGAAACTCCTAGAGCATCATTGGATGATGATGCTCTAGGAGTCTAGCAAAAGCCCTTATTAGGGCTTATATCGTGGCAATTAGAGCTACAAAATGCAGTACATTTTCTCACTCTTATTATGTTGGTTGATAGCTACCCAGCAGTCACCATCAGGATTGCTAACCCAGTCGCTTCTTTATTAGATTCTGGCCCTGCCTGTCTTGTTCAGTTTTTTCAGAAAGAATCATCTATCTATACTACAGTATCTTCAGTAGTAAGTAGCAAAATGTCTCCAGAGAAACAAGAAAAGGTGCACCTTCTTCTCAAGCAGCTGTTGCAGATCAATAGATGTGAATGATTTCCATCCAATCTCCAATATTCCCTATATAGTCAATCATGCCTTTGTTACATCAAGGCTCAACCACTGCAACTGAAGACGTCTTGTTGTTAGTTGCGAAGTCATGCCCAACCCATCGCAACCCATGGACAAGTTCCTCCAGGCCTTCCTGTCCTCTACTATCCTCTGGAGTCCATTTAAGCTCACGCCTACTGCTTCAGTGACTTCATCCAGCCACCTCATTCTCTGTCATCCCTTTCTTCTTTTGCCCTCAATCTTTCCCAGCATTAGGCTCTTCTCCAGTGAGTCCTTCTTTCTCATTAGGTGGCCAAAGTATTTCAGTTTTATTTTTAGAAAGATCTGGCCTTCTAAAGAGCTGTCAGGGTTGATCTCCTCTGGGGCTGACCAGTGTGATCGACTTGCAACCCAAGGGACTCGCAGAGTCTTCTCCAGCACCATAGTTCAAAGGCCTCAATTCTTTGGCACTTAGCCTTTCTTATGGTCCAACTTTCACAGACATATATTGCAACTGGGAAAACCATAGTCTTGACTAAATGCACTTTTGTCGGCAGGGTGATGTCTCTGCTTTTTAGTATGCTGTCTAGATTTGCCATAGCTTTCCTCCCCAGGAGCAAGTGTCTTTTAATTTCTTGGCTGCAGTTCCCATCTGCAGTGATCTTGGAGACCAGGAAAATAAAATCTATCACCACCTCCATTTCTTCTCCAGCTATTTGCCAGGAATAGACAGAGCAGGATGCCATGATCTTAATTTTCTTAATGTTGAGTTTCAAGCCAACCTTTGTGTTATATATGCAAATGTTCCCTGTTACCAGCTCTCTGATTGGCTGGTCATTTGACAGTTGCTTTGGGCTCGAGTATAAATACCCTGACAGTTGCAGGGACGTTTTGAATCGCAGTCATCTCGGTTATTTGCATACTCAACACTCCTCTAACATTTGCATGTATAACACTTTGCACTCTCCTTCTTAACCTGCATCAAGAGGCTCTGCAACTGAAGACTACTTAGAAGCAAAACCCAATCCAGAAGGATGCAGCACCAGTCGTGGTGGGCCTGCTTTAGCTTGCCTATAGGATTCCTTAACTTCATGAGCTGCGCTGCTTCCAATATGCTTCCAAGTGATTCAAGATGGTGTGATCACCTATAAAATGTACACAGCCTGAGGCCTGGTTATCTGAGGGACTGTCCAGTGAGAGTCAAAAAAGTGGAAATGCTACAGGCCCTCACAATCAAACAATATCCCATTTTGATACACAGGAAGCACATATTCTCTATGGTGCTATCTAACCTCTGAAATGAGGACCCATCCGTCCCCAAAATCTGAACAGATCCCATCTTGATGGTATTCTGGAAAACCTTAAAGACTGGCTGTTCTCCCAGTCTTTCAGATAGACTGGGTGGAACACCTTTTTTAGACTACATTGGGGAGAGCAGACCGGGAGGTCATTAAGTGAGGTGATCACATGGATAACTTGCTTAATGACCATCATGACTTGTAACTGTAATGGGAAGGCTCTGTTACAATCACAACAAGGACTATCTTTATATGTGGTTTTTTTTTTCCAGCAAACCAAGGATAGTAACATCAAGTTGATAAAATGAGTTGTGGTTTCCCCTTTCTCTACTGGCCATGTCCATTCTTGTTTTAATTTGTTTACACCATTGTGACAAGCTGACACAAGTCATAAAAGATTAAGAGTCTATTAACTGTCTGTTTCCTGTTCCCTACTTTTGTTTGCATTAAGCAAGAATTGTGAGCAAGACATATTGCTTTAAAAAAAATCAGATAATCCAAAAATGCTGGCAGCCAAAGAAAGACTTAGTCTTTGCCATGTTTACACAAGACAATTAAGCACTATTTTCATTTTATGCTTTGTCTATCATCAGAGGCAATCTGATTTTCTATTATGATACAGTTGCTGGGGAAAACAATTGATTTGAAGAGAAAAAAACAGTGCCAACATTAAATCAATGAAGTGGCTCAACACAAAATGTTATCTGTCACCAGTGAAATTATAGCAATAAATAAGCATTCCAATGTTATCGAAATTTGAAATACTCTCATAATTTATTTTCTGTATTGACTGTAAAATAATGTGCTTTTAAAATGAATTGACTCTTAAGGAAAAAAAAGAGTTCTTTTAGAGTGACACAGTGTATAAAAACCGAGGTAAAACAGGCTTTTCTGTTTAATCTTCCTCTGTGGTGAGGAACTGCCTTAAATTCAAAGTCATCTTTTTTTCTGGATAGAAGCAACAAATAGATGGTACTCTAAAAGGCATTCTATCTAATATGTACCAAATTTATCATGAAAACAGGTAGCATAATTGGTTTTTTCAAGCATATAAATCTATTTCAAGAGAGTACATTTTTTTGTCGGACTTGGTAAAAAGCAGGTTGGGAAACAGACCTATTTGCAATTATTATTTTTTTTTAAATGTCACACTTAGGGTAGGGTATCTATTATTCTGAAACTCTACTTACCTTGTTTTCCACTATAAATTGCTACTTTTGCTTTTTCAAGGCCAAAAATGCACGCAATAGTATTAACAAATTTGGTGAAGTCTAATTTATTGTCTCCCTTCGGATTTTCCAGCAACACCATACCATCTAGAGAGAGAACTATATATCAGTAATGCTAATAATATAATTTTTTTTCATCAATTAACAATAGGTATGTATGCAGCAATGTAACTGCTTAGTTATTTTGGGGTCCTTTGATTCCATCATAGCATTTGATAAAATACTTCATCATATTCTGGTTAATAAGCAAGTTAATGTGGGCAGGAAGCCATGAGAATTAGTTGGCTGCTTGGAATTTGTATCCAAAGAATGCTTTTTAATGACTCCTCACTGGATTGCAGGAGTTATTGAGGAGGGCTTTACAATGTTTGGTCTTTATCCTGCACTCTTCAACAAATTTATTGGAGTAATAGTAAACAAATTTGCAGATGGCATAAAATTGAGTAGCACAGTTAATATAAAAAGTAATATAAAATTAAACATAGTTATACTATATTAGAGAAATAGTTAAATGTTAAATTTTTCACTTAGGGAAAAGAAATCAAAGGCACAGGAGTACAAAAATTCAGGAGTATCCTCACCTGACAATAGCATTCATGAAAATGATCTTGGAACAGGAGTAAATAGGGTGTGTCGACAAAAGTATAGTCCTTAAATTCCATTCCATTTAACCATACTTCTCATTATGAATTATATAATATGGGGCATTGTTTAGGGCATCACGTTTTTAAAATGATTCAGGCAAACTAGAATAAGTTTGGTGAAGGGGCTAGAAAATAAATCTTAGGTGGAAAAATTGAACAAATATTTGTCCTTGTTCCTTGTAGTAGTAGTAGTAGTAGTAGTAGTAGTAGTAGTAGTAGTAGTAGTAGTAGAAGAAGAAGAAGAAGAAGAAGAAGAAGAAGAAGAAGAAGAAGAAGAAGAAGAAGAAGAAGAAGANGAAGAAGAAGAAGAAGAAGAAGAAGAAGAAGAAGAAGAAGAAGAAGAAGAAGAAGAAGATCAAGATCAATTTTACATCATTTCAGAGTACAGGATACAGAATATCAGATTTATTATTAAAGGAAAAAAGACTGGTTGGACAGTCCTTCAGTGGAAGTGATTAACAGAAGCTGGAAGTCATCTATGGAGTCCCTGGTGCTCTCTGAGCTTTTCTAATTTCTAATTGTTCCAATTTATTTTCCATACTTTTTTAGGAACATTAAGCATAGAGTACTACTAGTAAACAGCCCTTTGAGAGTTGGGAGTAAGCTTCCTTTAAATATGGGTTTCTGGTGGTTGTTTTTTTTGAAACAATTAAACTTCCAATTCAACCCTGGATTTAAGTGAATAGGATGCACACTTCTATTATCCAGTTTACTGTATTTATACTGAAATGTATCCTCGATATTAACCAAAGATCACAATTTCTTTCCTCTTATTCTGAATCAGTTATGTAGCTACCTTAATTGTATCAATAAAAAATAAAAAGTAATCCTCCATTTTTAAATTTTTATAAAGAAACAGCCGCAATGATTCAAATAATTTAAATCTTAAATACATTTGTAAATTTAAAAAAGAGTTTAAACACTTCAAGTGTAGATTAGGCTCCAAAGATTTGTAAACCTCATTTCAAGTAATGAAAGAAACGGTTAGAACAATGCCAGGTCAGTGTCAGTTCTAAAGTAAACCATACTAGGTGAAATACTGCATGGATAATTCCTAAAAATATGGAATTGAGAATGATGCAATTTTCATAGCCATCTGTTACACCATGGGTATTAAAGTGGTGGCCTGCGGACCAGATGCATCAGGCGCAGCCACGCCCACCCCTGCTCTGCAAAAGCAAAAAATGTCACGTGACATGATCAAGTTTGATACCCATCTGTTATACATACCCACTGCATATTTCTCCAACAGATTCTCAGATAATGCAATTCTGTGTCTGGTTACTTCTTGACTATAACCATATAGCTTTTTTTTCTAGAGATAGTTTATCATTGCCCTCTTCCAAGAAGTTTAATTTTTTTAAGTTCCCAGTGTAATGTAGAGCTTGGATTTCTTAATGATATACCAGACAAATCTTAAGTTTGATCCTGCTTAGTTTTTCAAGATTCTCCAAAATCAATTTGGTGCTAACAAAGACCATATGCTATGTTTTTCATCACCACGTTTACTAGTGTCATCCATTTTTAGTTAGCAATTTTACAAGTAGTACAAATAGTTCTAGCTACACTCCATCATGTTTTACAGCAGCGGTTAAAATGAGAGAATGACAAATTAAAAAGTAGATTAATACAGACGTACCTTGTTCTTTACCATTAATGCAGATGTTCAGAGTGACATAAGCACATGCTGGTTCAGTACAGTGATGAACAGCTGCTTTGGCTATTGTAATTTCCAGTTCTGATCCCTTCAGCTAAACAAACAGCAGTTACATTTTTAAAATTATTCTTCTAAGACAAGACCTACGCACACTTTTTCTCTCCAAGCTGTTACAATTGAGAAATACTTCCAGGAACCACAGTGGCAATAGATGTGGCAATACATCTTATAAAAATAACAGGACAGAGTACTTCACTAGAACTAGTATCTGGCATATTAAAAACACATAACTTGTACCTTCTAAACCAGTATTCGAACTAGAAATATAGTACAAATATCAAGTGCATTTTCAGTGGGAAAAAATGGAGAGAAGTAATGCCTATAAATATAGATAAGAGGACAGATTTAATAACAAAGGCATTTTGCCCAGGACTAGGCAAGGTTGTTTCGGTATCCACTATTACAGTGATGGCGAACCTATGGCACCTGTGCCGGAAGTGGCATACAAAGCCAGTCCTCTGGGCATGCCAGCCATCACCCGTTGCTCTTCTTGTATAATATGCGCGTCAACCAGCTGGTTTTTGCTTGCGAGGGACTGCCAGAACCCAGAAGAGCAGCTTCCAAGCACATATGCAATTGCTGGCAAGCTGGGCTTCTTATGTGCATACACACCAGAAACTGGAAGCTCAGCTTCCTGGCGCGTGCCTGCATGGCCAGGAAGCAGCTCTTCTGTTTTCCGGCACTCCCGCACATGCGCACCAGGAAGCTGCTCTTCTGGTTTCTGGCACTCCCATGCGCCTGCACTTGGTGCCGAAAAGGTTCGCCAATACTGAACTATTATCTTATGGAAATGTTGGGCTTCCTTTTTTCCCTGGTATGACCCTAGATATTTAATTTTAATTATTATACTCTTTTAAATCTCACTAGCCTCTGTCAGACTTTTACGAGTTGGTCACTGTAAGACTTGAAATTACAAATACAAATTATGAATCAATGCACAGGCTAAAATGTAGTTGCCTGGTTTGTCATTCAGGTTGCTGTCAAGTCTACTTGGTGTGGTTGTTCAGTGTGATGTGTGAATGCAGACAAGTCTAAATTATGGTTCAGTTAACTAAGGCATAACTAAGGCAATTTCAACCATCAACCACCTGAAAGCTGAAATAGTGGCTATAGGAAAGAAAACACAAGTAATAGTACATTAAATGAAAAACTAAGATGATGTTAACACACATCCTTGTTATTTACTCTTAATTGCTGATTGTTCTTATGGCCACTGGCAAAAATTAAATGTTAATGTTAACAAAAATGAATGTTAATGACTAAGTGGAAAGTTACCAGTCAGCAAATACTTGTCTTACAATTTCCCAGTAACAAAACTAGCCCGGGGAGGGCAGGGAGGGGAAGAGAGGATGACACAAAGTAAAGGATGACACAAAGGATAATAAAGTAAAAGTTTATCAAAGCACTGAGTTGTTTCAAACTGCAAGATGGGCAGCAGATAAATTTTAATAATAATAATATAATAATAATAATCAAGTTATTAAAGTTAACTTTTGACTGAAGAACTTGTTTATCTCATTTAGGTCAACTATCTGTATCTAAACTATTAAATTGATATAGAATGTATTACTATACCAAACATTAATTAATATTCCCTATAAAATGAATGTAAATGTTACATAGACAGCTGTAAAATATCTATCATTAGAAGCAGTCTGGTTCCCATTTAAATGTAAATTAGTGTCTAGATTATTTGTACGTTGGACATTTTCTTTTAATTTGTTTGCTGTTTGGTCTTGAACTATATGCATAATAACTCTATAATCCTATTCATATCCATGAAAAGGTACATCAACAGCTTTCAATTTCTCCTCATTTTAACCACCGTATTTTTCAGAATATAAGACACACCTTTTTCCCCCTAAAAGAGGGTAAAAATGTGGATGCGTCTTACACACTGAATGTAGCCCCACCCACCCACCAGCCCCAACCCTTTGGCCTCTGCATCCCAGCAATTTACCTCTTTGCAGCAAACAGGGGCTTGCGGAGGCTTCAATAGACTATAGCAATCCCTGCAGCCTGAAACAGCTGATGATCAGGATAAATTGAAAGGGAAACTTGCTGGGAAACTTGCTCCAGGCAAATTGCTGGGAGGCAGAGGCAGATTTTTTTTCTTGTGCTAATCAGTCTGTTTGCTGCAAGGAGTAAATCAACAACTATAAATGTCTACAGAATGTTCAAATTATTAGACTTATTTTTTAAAGACTGCTTTATTATTATTCTAGACAACTTAACAAAACGAAGCTTTTTAAAATAAATGTTTGATCTGAAGAGACCCCATGCTATTGTTTTAAAAAGTGGTATTCTTTTAAATAGCAGATAATAAATATATTTCCAGAAAGCACATCAATTTTAACAGCATCTGTACAAGTATAGTCTAAAATATAACATTACAAACAGTGTATATTGTCTGTACTGTTTGCTGTTTGTTGCAAGGAGGCAAATTGTTGGGAGGCAAAGGCAGATATTTTTCTCTTGTTTTCCTCCCCAAAAGCTAGGTGCATATTATACTTCGGAGCATCTTATACTCCGAAAAATACGGTACATATTCACTTTCCATAATCTGGTTCTTCAAGTTATTCTGGAACTGGACATAAAAGCCTATCAACAACAACTTAATAAATGTCAAATCCTATTTTAAAAGTCAGCCAATTGCTTGATAGACTCATTCAAAAATGTGCACACTGTTTAAAACCAGTTTTGGGAAGGGAGAAGAAACGATTATTGAATTATTTAGCTTTTGATGATTGTGTAATATATCTTCAAACAATTCTTTAGATTGATATGAATCTAAATTTGTCATGAGAATTATTGCATGTAAAAGGTAAAGGTTCCCCTCACACAAATGTGCTAGTCATTCCTGACTCTAGGAGGCGATGCTCATCTCCGTTTCAAAGCCGAAGAGCCAGCACTGTCCAAAGACGTCTCCATGGTCATTTGGCCGGCATGACTAAATGCCGAAGGCACACGGAACACTGTTACCATCCCACCAAAGTGTTCCCTATTTTTCTACTTGCATTTTTACGTGCTTTTGAACTGCTGGGTTGGCAGAAGCTGGGACAAGTAATGGGATCTCACTCCGTTACGCGGCACTAGGATTCAAAGCACTGAACTACCGACCTTTCTGATCGACAAGATCAGCATCTCAGCCACTGAGCCATTGCATCCCATATTATTGCAAGTATGCCTTGCAAATCTAATGCACATACAACTTAACACCACCAAATATACTAAAATGAAGACATTCAAAAAAATCTGAATTCATATAGAATAAGACCAACATATCAAGGTTAAAATTCACATGGGAATATACTTGATTAAACATGCAATCTTTATATTGCAAATATTATTAGTTATTGTATAGGTCTCATATTCTTTTAAAGCAAGTTTCTACAGCTGTAGCTGTGTAACTTAATTTTGAAAGAATTCAGATTCATTGACTTTTTGAATTTAAAACTTGCTACAGTATATGGATAGTCTAGTCCAACAAACACTAAATATGAGTAGTGCAACATTTAGATCACAGTGAAGGTGAATATTCTGTAAAGGGTATATTTGTATTTACCTGAGTTTTTTCTTGAATAAGCACTTCCTCTGAGGGAGACACTGGATATGGCTTCAAAGCAGTTTTTATTGTGGCAAAAATAAAATCTGTATGTTCCTTAATAACAGTATCAAGATAATCACCTTCTGGAGATGCCTGATAATATACTGTAATCTCATCTGTAGGAACCAGATTGCGCTGAAATAAAATTAGCAACATTAGTCAGTATCAAATATTACCTTATGGCCAATTTTTGTAATAAATTCTCTGTCAGTATTAACAGAAGAAATTAATGTATTAAAAGTACCCAAAAACAACAAAACTGCCTATTAGAATTATTTACAAAGAAAAGTATCTAAATGCCTACATTGTCACGCATTTTCTTTCTAATCCCCCTTGCATATCACTCACTCATCCTTTGCTAGGTAAAATGAAAATAAATGTTTTGCCATGTATCATTGGCCTTCATGGGAAAGAGCATTTCATGAATTTATGGTTAGTACACAAAGTTCAGATTCAAGTACTAACAAAATTAATGAAAGTTATTTGGGAGTGCTATGCTTACTTTGTGTGTAGAGGTTACTCTTATTTATAGAGCTGTCATCTTAAAACAATGAGAGAAGTCACCTTCATGCACAATTACCTATGTCATGTTCAATTTTTCTCCTCTGTTCTATTCTCTCCTTTCATTGCCATCTGTTCTCCATGATGCGCTCCAACCCCATCAAGCACAAATATATTTCCCTTAAACACATTATTTTGGTATTTAAAGTATTGACTTCTCTCCTTCCGCAGCTTTCTGTTGTTATAACAGGAACAATGATTTGATTTCTTTCAGGATTACAGCTGGTTTAACAACAGTTATATATGTTTTTACAAGGCAATAACCAAAATGCATGGTCATTATCACTAAGATAAGCATACTGCAGGCTTGTGAAGTGTACGGAAATATTTTCTTGCTTAATGTTCTTTTTACTTCCCAATTAATTTCATGGTGGCTGGCTGGATCATAAGCAATATTAATCAGCACAGCAGGCTATCTGGCCCAAATTATATTAGGTAATATTCTTTAAATCAACCTTTCTGATTTTTAACATGATAGGAATAGGGTAGGACAGAATAACAGAGTTGGAAGGGACCTTGGAGGTCTTCTATTCCATCCCCTGTTCAGACAGGAAAACCCTATACCACTTCAAACAAATGGCTGTCCAATCTCTTCTTAAAAGCTTCCAGTGTTGGAGAATTCACAACTTCTGGAGGCAAGTTGTTCCACTGATTAATTGTTCTGTCAGGAAATTTTTCCTTAGTTCTAGGTTACTTCTCTTCTTGATTAGTTTCCACCCATTGCTTCTTGTCCTGCCCTCAGGTGCTTTGGAGAATAGCTTGACTCCTCCTTCTTTGTGGCAACCCCTGAGATATTGGAACACTGCTATCATGTCTCCCTTAGTCCTTCTTTTCATTAAACTAGACATACCCAGTTCCTGCAACCGTTCTTCATATGTTTTAGTCTCCAGTCCCCTAATCATCTTTGTTGGCTCTTCTCTGCACTCTTTCTAGAGTCTCAATATCTTTTTACATTGTGGTGATCAAAACTGGATGCAGTATTCCAAGTTGGCCTTACCAAGGCATTATAAAGTAGTATTAACACTTCACACGATCTTGATTCTATCTCTCTTTATGCAGCCTAGAACTGTGTTGGCTTTTCTGGCAGTTGCTGCCCACTGCTGGCTCATATTTAAATGGTTGTCCACTAGGACTCCAAGATCCCTTTCACAGTTACTACTATTGAGCAAGGTATCACCTATACTGTACCTATGCATTTTGTTTTTCTTGCCTAAATGTAGAACCTTACTTTTTTCACCACTGAATTTTATTTTGTTAGATAGCGCCCAATGTTTAAATCTGTCAAGATCCTTCCATATCTTAAGCCTATCTTCTGGAGTGTTGGCTTATTCCTACCAGCTTGATGTCGCCTGCAAATTTGATGAGTTCCCCATTTATTCCCTCATCCAAATCATTGATGAAGATGTTGAAGAGTATTGGGCCTAAAACAGAGTCTTGGAGTACTCCACTGCATACTTCCCTCCATGTAGATGCAGTTCCATTGAGGATTACACGTTGAGTGTGGTTAGTCAGCCAGTTATAAAAAGTTATTTACATTTCACTTTTTGATTCAGGTGCAAATAATATCAGGTGCAAATAATATAAAAAGAGCCGAGGTGGCGCAGTGGTTAAATGCAGCACTGCAGGCTACTTCAGCTGACTGCAGTTCTGCAGTTTGGCTGTTCAAATCTCACCGGCTCAGGGTTGACTCAGCCTTCCATCCTTCCGAGGTGGGTGAAATGAGGACCCTGTTGTTGGGGGCAATATGCTGACTCTGTAAACTGCTTAGAGAGGACTGAAAGCCCTATGAAGCGGTATATAAGTCTAACTGCTATTGCTATTGCTATCAAATACAGTTGCACACAGTACCTTCAGCTGCGAACAGCATTTGTGCTTTAAATAGACTCTAAATGACTGGGATTTGTTTCTTACAGCAGAGAAATTAATCAAGAAATATGATGCCAGAGACACTTTTAGGAGAAATTTCTTTATTTGTTATTGTCCCCCGATTTACTTACCTTCTTTCGAAGTTTTTGAATGCGATTTATTACTTCCCGTGCAACGCCTTCATCAACCATAGACTGATCAGGAGTAATATCTAGGAGAACCAAAACCTGGTGATAAAAACAGCAAAAAAATAAAATAAATGAACAAACCTTAACAATTATACCGTTAAAAGAATTGAGTTCTAATGAATTAGAGCTAATTATAAATCACAGTTACTTGTTCATTATTTATTCTTCATTTCTTTTTAATAGGCCTACAACTCCAGCAAAATCTTTTCCTTTCACTTTTGGAAAATGCCTGGGTGGATACAGTCCCAAGGAAAAAGGGAAAGTTTTGCATACACCTAATTAGACTCATGTTCAGCATCTTGTAGGATCTTTGAAATGTTTCTAAAATTTCAAAGACTCCTCTATTGGGTTAAAATATAGCTATATACCAAGTCTGGGCTAGTTAAAAGAACATTATGCCAGTGTTTCATTAATTATAGCAGTTTCCACTGTGTTCCCGAACATGATGATGGTGTCAAGAGCAGAGTATCTAAAACATATTCTACTTTTAGAGTGGTCAACATGTAATCAAAGGCAAAGCCTTAAAAATGTGCCCCTCCCTCCCTGACCCAAATGCATACTTTTATCATGTACTCTTCGAAAGTCATTTTCTGATGCCTCTGCTAAATGAAATTAGGCAGATTGTTTAAGGCAGAGAATTCATTTGTGGGATTATATTCACTGAATGCCCATCAAGGAAGCCCATTTGATATCTCTTTGAGGTCAAGCTATGTTTGCTTTTTTCAAGATGCTCTATATTTCACTTTTAACAGTTGGAATGGTGACTTGTGTGTTTTTTTAAAATAAAATAAAAGTGCTTATTTTAATTAAAATAGATTTTAAAAGATTAACCATTTGTGCTTTTAATTTCATTATTTTGACATGGTTATACCACTATAGTACCTGTTTTATCTGATGGAGCAACACAGATCACATTTGCCATATAGGCATCTCCTTTTACTACATGGGCTACAATAGTATAAGACTAATAAAACTGTAGAGATTGCATGCCTCATGGTTATAGACCAGGACACTTATTTATACAGACTGCTTCCTAAAGAAAAAGGAACTTCTCACCCTCCTACATCATACTGTTAATATAAGAAAAAAATGAAACTTTTTTCCTTTATTTTAGTCTCTCCACCCTAGAACTACATAGGGGATGAGCCTCATTTTTATGTTCCTGAATACTCTCATCATTCAACCATGTGTTGTCGCCGGGAGGGAGGGTCTTATTTTATTTTACCTTTTGTCCACTGTGTTTTTATTGTTTGTAAGCCGTCTAGAGTCTTATATAGCCGCCTACTCACCTGTGAGTGAGTAGGCGGCTATATAAACTTTATACATTTTCTAAAATATAAATAAAATTAAGAACCCATACCATGTGGTAGGAAAGTTGCCTGCTTTCCAATTTTAAGTCTTACATTAACTTTAAAAAGTACAAAACTTTTTCTTGCTGTTATCTTAAGTCAACTATCCCAGTCAACTGTCTTTGTCTGGGGAGGGAAGAAAGATAGAGATGAGGAGAAGAAGATGGTAGGGAGAAGGAGAGAGGGTAGGAAGGGGAAGAGGAAGAGAGGAGGAGGGGAGAGGTAAGGGAAGAAGGAAGGGAAAGGAGGGAGGAAGGAAGTAGAGAAGGGAGGGAGGGAGAAAAGAAAGGGAGAAGAAGGTGATGTCAAAAGAGGCGAGGGATGGTAACCAAAGCAACTCAAATGGAATATTATAATTTTATAAATGGAATGACAAATGTATAAGAATGACGAATGCAAAAAAGAATAATAACTATGTGAATGTATATCTATAATTGTATATGGAGAACACAAAATAAAAAACTTTAAAAAAAACACTTTTTATATTCAATACCTGAGAATCAGAATGAGCTTCAAACTGGCCATATCCTCCTCCAGTCTGGTCAAAGGTGTACATCAGACGGAGATCTTCCTCATGCAATTCATGCCCTTCTACAACCATTTTGCCTAATTTATATAAGAGAATTCTGTATGTTAAAATTTGATCATTCAATTTTAAAATGATCTTTAACTATTCTCTCTTTCATTTGAAAGATAAACATACGTATCAATATGACTTTGTATTTATCCCTGTAATAAATTGTTCACTTTCTTCATCCAAATACTTTGATTTATTTAGCATTAGACAGGCATCCTTCAGGGAATAGGTAGTCCTTGACATATGATGAGACTAATGGAGCCTGCCAGTTACAGCCTTTGTCATGACAGTTGTAAAATGGGTCAATCAAGGGCCTGACCAATTTGGCTTTTTAGCAGTGGTTGTTAAGCAAAAGAGACAGTCGTAAAATCGTAGCAGTCATAAAGTGAACAAGGCGGTTGTAAAGTGAACACTGAAGTCATTAAACAAACCATGGGTGCAATTCTACCAAAAACCACAAGTAAGGGCCAGGTTTTGGTACAGTTTACAATGTAGTCATATGACTGCAGGATATTGCAAGTGTTGTACATGGGGCCGTGTTGCAGAGCATTTGAAGTCCAGTCATGTGACCACAGAAGAGATTGAACTGTTAGAACTTCAGATTCAGGTTCTAAGTATCAAGGACTGCCCCTACTGGAAAATTAATAACATTAATGTTAAAATCCAGAACATTGGGTTTACGTTTATTGTAAGAATGGTGGCAGGAACTGGATATGTCTAGTTTAATGACAAAAAGGACTAGCATGACAGCAGTGTCCCATTATCTAAGGGGCTGCCAAAGAGAAGAGGGGGTCAACCTGTTCTCCAAAGCACTGAAAGGCAGGACAAGAAGCAAGGGTGGAAATTAACCAAGGAAAGAAGCAACCTAGAACTAAGGAGAAATTTCCTGACAGTTACAACAAACAGAGGAACGATCTGCTCCCAGAAACTGTGGGTGCTCCAACATTGGAGGTGTTTAAGAAGAGATTGGACAACCGTTTGTCTGAAATGGCGTAGAGTTTCCTGTTTGAGCAGGGGGTTGGACTAGAAGACCTCCAAGGTCCTTTCCAACTCTTGTTATTCTGTCATTCTCTTATTCTGTATTTAAATTTACATTGATGAGACAACACTATCACATTACACTTAAATGCTTTTCAACAGTGCCTGCTAAACTCAGCATGCTTTTGCACTCCCATCATTCTACATTTGTACATTGTGCAGGTTTCCTTTTAGAAGTTTATGTCAAAAGTACTAACAATTTGCAGTCTGTCTAGTCATTTTAAAAAAAAATTAAGACTCTTAACTACTTCTGGTTTTAGCAGTCAGGAATAGCAATTTTACAGGCATCTATTAGCCGAAATCCTGAGACTTAGATAGATTTGTTTGGAGATCTTGAGCTCAAGAAATATTTCCTATGGTTTTTGGTATCCTGGATGCTACAATGTATATTTGCATAGCCTCTCCAGCCTGATGCTTTACATAATTGCTGCCACATTCATTATGTTTTATAGACAAAGTAAAAGGCCAATAGGGGCTCAGAAGGTAAGGCATCTCCAAAATATTCTTAAGCTTAAAATAGTAAACCTCAACATCCAGAGAGACAAGAGAAAATCTTGGCTCTTCGTGGCACCTTTGAGGATGATAATGTTAACTTGAACTGAAAATTGGAATTCACTGTATTGATTAGGGTTAGGATTAAGCAAGATCAAAAAAGGTATAATGTTAAATAAATTCTATCTCTAGCACTTCATTTTTTAGTTTAAAGCAAAATATTCCACGTTTTTAACTATAAAATATTATTTTCCTTGGCAAAAGTGATGGAAATAGAAGAAAGGTGAATAAAAATAATGGGAATGAAAAACTACTAGCACTAGAAGGGACAGGATATGCAGTTAACAGGAACTGAGCTTAATTAAGTATGTCAAGCTCCTATATGTGCATCATATAAACTTGTAAAAAATTATTATAAAAATACAAAAAAGAATGCAAAAGAGTACAAAAACAAATTCTACTCTGTCAATTTAAATAATCCCCTGATATTTTCTGGCTTTCAATGAGTACTTTAACTGTTTCCCTCTTTGCAATAATTTTCCAATATATTTATAATCCATAAATATTTGATGTTTGTTTATTTATGAGTTTTGGAGGCTGCCTGACTTTGGATGGGTTACAATCCAAAGAATGACTTTGGATGGGTTACAAACACAATCCTTGTAACATAAAATTCAAATGACAAAGGCTTCCAAATATCCCACTCAGTGATGGGTTCTGGATTCCGTTCCAAACGGTATGGTTGGAACAGGCCAGCGTCATCTACATGGACGTGCGCAGCACGCGTATGCGTCTTATACCGCTTCCGCGAGCCTGCTCAGCTGTACGCCGTTTGCGTGCGCAGAAGCACCAAAGACTTAAAAGGCTTAAAAGACCGGTAAGTAACTCAGGCGGGCGGATAAGCCCTCCGGAGCACCGTACTAGAACAGTATCCGGTGCTCCGGGCAGGCGTCAATACACCCGTACTGGGGTGTACTGCCTGCAACCCACCACTGGTCCCACTCAAAGGAGAGCAGCCAAGTTGTTACATAGAAAGGAATATTGTAGCTTTTAAATACTACCCAATCTATTAGTAGGTTATAATATATTCCAGAAGCTAAATGCAATCCAAGAATATCACAGATTTATAACAATGCTGAATGGTTACCAACCTGTCTTCTGAAATTCTTCCAACAGTTCACTTGGCAATTCTTTGATAGCAGCCATTACAGATTTAAAGGCACCTTTAAGTCGCTTCCCAAGCACCATATGATCAGGTTCTGCTCTCAAACGGATTCCATACTTATCTTTATCAGTGGATAAAGTCACTTTGCGGACATTAAGTTCCTTCATATTTAATAACATACACATATCCCCCACAAGGAAATAAAAAGAACAAAGAAGAATACGTTATTATTTTCAAACTGCAACAAATGTTGTACAGAAAAGACAAGACAAGAATATCAAACAACTGTTTGTGCATAATTCTAACGCTGTGTGGTTATATTTAAGGAAAGAAAAGGAGTCTCAACCTATTCAATATAAGAAAAAACTTTTACCAAAATATTAACCAAACATTCTGATGTATACCTACTTCCAGTTTAATTCTGGAATTAAAATTTGCTTGTACTAGACATTCCTCTATTGGACTAGGTCTCCCTTTTTCAGATTGTACAGTCTTTAGTCACTTTGGAAAGGCAATGATCATGTAGAAAATAATTAGTTGCCTTAATAACTAAATCTTCTACAACTAAGGTGTAATCAAATATATATGTTTATATGCAGTACAAGATTATAATATGAGATAATTTAATTCAGCCTAGTGAAACCTTGATACCACTATTTCTGACAAATGGATCTGTCTGTTAAATATACTGCATTTCCTATTTTACATCCCAAAGTTGTTCTAGTATATTTATGCTAAAATACTGTTGCTGTTCAGAGATCCCCTGTTTGGCCAAGCAAATGTATAAACAATATTATAAAGAGCATCTATGACTTTTATGACCTTTAAGAATCTAATACACAAAGCCACAGAGGGTCACTCTGTCTGGCGGATTACATTCAAATTTCTAAAGCAAATAAAGGTCCCAAATGGCTTATTTTCCAAAGCGGAACATCAGTTTATAAGCAGATGTTTGAAAAAAAATGCTTAGCTTAAAACGCAAAGTATTTTTTGGTGTTTTCATTTATTTCTTGGGTAGAAAATTCCACACATTGGGTTTTACTTCATTTACAGTTTAATCAATTGTGAAAGCAAAATAGGACTGAATGAATGAAAAGCATGTCAATGGGCCACAATAAATAGTACTTTATATTCTCATCAGACTTATTCCAAAGGAATATACATATTGTAGTTTAGATTCTCAAGAGAAATTGAGACTATCGACTACAAGCTCCCTTTAATTAAAGGTAGTCCTCAACCTACGACCACAATTGAGCCCAAAATTTTTGTTTTTAAGTGAGAAATTTGTTAAGTGAGTTTTGACCCAATTTATGATTTTTTTGCCGCAGTTGTTAAGTGAATCACTGCAGTTGTTAAATTATTAACACAGTTGTTAAGTGAATCTGGCTTCCCCATTGACTTTGCTTGTCAGAAGGTAACAAAAGTTGATCACATGACCCCAGGACACTACAGCCATCATATGAACCAGTTACCAAGCATCCTAATGTAAATCACATGACCATGGGGAAGCTGGATCATTAGTGTGAAAAATGGTCATAAGTCACTTATGTAACCAGTGCCATTGTAACTTTGAACGGTGTCCTTAAATTAAAAGACACAGAAAGAATATTAAAGTATTTTTTGAAAAATAAAACTCAACAACACAACGCTAATCTGTTCCCTTTAAATTTCCATAAAACTTCTGAAATCTACATTATATTGAAAAATTCTGACACAATATTCATGATCTGTATTTATATATTAAGAACATGCATGCTTCAAAAATAATTTGGAGAAGTGCTTGAAACACTGCATAAGCCCAGGACAGTGTCTGTTTAGCTTTCTAAGTCAGCCAGGAGAAAGGAGCAGCTTCTATTAAGAGTGTACGCATTGACATGGATGGATGCAACTCTTGGGGGGAGGAGGGGAGGCTCCTTTAATGAAAACCAGAAAGGTCTTTTGCTCAGGCATTCCCCAGAGAACTAGTTCAAATAATTTCCAACGCATGCACAAGTCTCATAAATGTTGTAGCAGAAGAGCCAGATAGGCTGTCGCAGCCAAAAATCAAAAGGAATCTGGAAGCCCTTTTTTATTTGCCTCTTATTTACATTTGTTAGTCTGAAATGATACTATCAGAGTCCCTTTAATAAATAAGTAATTCGGGGGGGGGGGGAGGAAGCGAGGTCAAATATCTGTGTCCTTATCATGTATGATATATACCAACCTCAGAATTTATTTTGACTTGCTAGCTTAAACTTTGTGCTCACCTATTGGACTCCTATATAGGTAATAGCTATAGCTTGCTAAACTGCTAATTAGTACAAGATAAAAAATGTTCACAATATACACAGAAAATCCATACTTCACATATTTTTTCCACAGACAAATATGTGTAGCTTTGGATCATTTTCTTAATAAATAAATGAACAAGGACAATGTTTTTACTCATTTCTTTAATTAAGTGCTTTTTAGGGCTTGTGTGAAAACAGATCACGTTTTAGGTCATAACTATGGAAAAATATTGAAAATTCAAAAGGATTCCAAAACTTTTAAGCACCACTGATACTGCCCATTTCTTAGAGCCGTGATAGCGAGCCTATGGCAAGCATGCCACAAATGGCATGTGGAGCCATATTTCCAAACTTCTGATTGGCCTGTTTTTGCCCTCCCCAGGCTTCGGAGGTTCATGTTATATTAAATTTCTAGTCAACATGTTAACTGTTCCTCAATCAAGATTTGACATTCTCCTTCTGTTTTCAAACATCTATTTTAATCTAAACAAAGTCAGGTTACAGTTGATTAGGATATATTCCTCCTTTTCATTAGGCAAACTTTTCAACAGATAAGATTTGTCATTTTGGACATGCTTTATACATTTAGATAATTCTTTAATTATCATGAACCTATTTAAAGCTGGACTGCTAGCATCACGTACAATATGGATAAAGCATTTAACAGTCAGTGAATAACAATAATACAATTGCTATTTTTGAACGTGAACTATCATCACCACCTGTACTTTTTGATTTGGCAAATTTGAACAGAGAGTTTTTAACATACTTGTTCATCTTACCTCAAGTATATACTTTTCCAAGGACTTGATGTCTTCCAGTGCTTGAGAATCCTGATGGATGATGACCACTTCTTTCAATGGATACTAAAATCAAATTCAAGAACTTTAGTCCCAGAAAAGAAAATTGAGCAGCATTGCAAAATGTCATGTTGTCTATTTAACGTCTATATAATCGTCTTTCTGCAGCTCATTGATTTACTTCTGAAAATGGAGAACATCTTACCTTTACTGGGATGGTTTTCCTATCTCTGATTACACGTCCCAGCTCAATAACAGACTGCATCCAAGAAACAGCACTTTCTATGTTTTTGTCGATCAGGTCTTCCCTAGATTGAAAGAGCAAACAATTTTTTATCTCAATGTATGCAGAGTTCCAGAAACCAAGAACACATAGGATTAAAATAGCGCAAACAAACTGAAAAAATAATATGAAAAAAAAAGATCAGACATTAAAGCAATAGAACAAAACCACCAAATATAAGATAGTTCATTTTCCAAGTATATACATACATCACATAATTGCTATAAATTGAACATACTCTTCATTCAAATAGCACAGAAAAAAATATCAAAGATGTTACAAAAGTAAAACGAAGATTTACATGCTCAGGACCAAGACTTTACAGCCAAGTCATTATTAAATGTGGAGATGAAGGGAAATGGGATATATACCCCATTATTATCATAAACTCTAGAGGAGGGAGGACTTGATTTATTACAAATTTTCTATTGAATACAAGTCAAAGGAAGTCAATGTACAGTCCTTTTTAATTATTTTCACAAATGGTAATAATATTAGGCATCATTAATTGAAAAAATAAGAACTAAACTCCACAAATTAACTTACTACTCTATAAGTAACATACAGCTTTCTAATACACATTAGGACTAGGGGAGACATGATAGCAGTATTCCAATATCTCAGGGGTTGCCACAAAGAATAGGGAGTCAAATTATTCTCCAAAGCACCTGAGGGCAGGACAAGAAGCAATGGGTGGAAACTAATCAAGGAGAAAAGCAACTTAGAACTAAAGAGAAATTTCCTGACAGTTAGAACAATTAATCAGTGGAACAACTTGCCTCCAGAACTGGAAGTTTTTAAGAAGATGTTGGATAACCATTTGTCTGAAGTGGTATAGGGTTTCCTGTCTAAGCAGGGGGTTGGATTAGAAGACCTCCAAGGTCCCTTCCAACTCTGTTATTTTATTCTGTTACATAATAATATTTCAAAGGCACTTGAACAAGCTACACAGCCCAAGCTACTTGTGCTGTGGCAGCTGTCACCATATTTTTACGCTTTAAATATCCACAACACTGAAAGAAGAGATTTTTCTTCTCAATAATATCCTTTTATATCTTGAGAAATTCCTTTAATCGCCTTCATTACAGACTCAGATGTGCAAAACAAACAGCACAAGCAAGAATGAGACACATCCAAATCAAACAAATTCTTTTTGCCGATCAAAGAAACAAGCATCACAGTTTCAGTCAATATTTCCAAATAGCTTAACTTGAAACAGCTGATATTCTGCGACAACATCTTTAACACCATCCGACAAAAACTTCTGTCTTTCCCAGATCCTTGGGCTTAACAGATGAATAAAAATGCCAAATAAAGTCTAAATATCTGGACCAAACATAATGCTTGGCCATTGATATAGTTCAGCCTCACCTTTCAAGAATATTGGTTTTGCTGGTTGACTTGCTTACAGGTCCCAAAGGGCAATTACTAGAGCTAGAAGAATGAATAAGCCAAACTCCCAGGTACTGCCATTCTAAATCGATGCTTTGAGCCTTAAGAAAGTCCTTACTTTCTTTAATATATCCCCACAATATAGGCCTTATCTCCATTATAGTCATCAGGACTGGACATGGAAGATGTAATCAATAAAAGGTTAGAATTAGTTTTAACATATTTTTTTCCCATTGTCATGGTTGTCCTTGAATACATAACTGCAATATATCTTCTATAATTTACCATACTTGATTATTTATTAACGGAAACTGTGTTCTGCCAATCAGAAGAGATTGTCGATGATTTATGTACTATACATAAAAATGCAATAAAGCATCTACCGGTAAGCTTTAAAAATAATTAATCAACCCACATGGCATGTTACTCAATCTATTAGCACCAGGTTGCACAGCCGATACAGGAAATACCAAAAGTAAAAACTAAATCAATTCAATCCCAAAATCTTTCAAGCCCTCAAGATTGCCTATATTATGACTACAAAGGTTAAGCTAGCGTCTTTAGCAATGATCTATTTCAAAAGAATTAAAAGGCCTCAAAGTTTTTTTCAGGTTATCAATGACACATACACAGAATTCCAACAGTACAGAACAAATGCAAGTTAAACACTAAACTAAGCTGATAATTACACAGTTGCTCACCTAACTTGAGGAAGCATGAGGTAGTGAATGCTATCAGTATTCTTCTCCTGAATACAAGCAGGATGAATAAGAGTCTTCAAATTCTGGTACATTAGTTCGGTAATAAACGGAGTATAAGGTGCCTGAAATGACAATATGGGTCTTAACTCGCATTATACTGCATATTCTAAATTCTTGATTGATTATAAATTTTACCGAGAAGATTACTGAATCTCATCTACATCATTTCTACACTGAATGCTAACAGGATTTACACAATGAAAAGACAATTGTGCCAGCAATCAAAATTGTATTTTATTCATCTGTTTTCCTCTATCAGAAACTGTAAGACAGATGGAGCTCTATTACATTATCTTTCTTCCATCCAGTGGCTGGACTCCAAGTTTCAATATAACATAAAGCAATCTAATGAACAACATGAGAACACAAAATGTTATAGCTTATCTGATAGCACCTGGTTCTCTATAACTGCTCTATGAACAATCATCCTGAGAAATCAGTAAGAACAGGATGTACATTTATTCTGTTTTGTATCAGCTAAGATATATTAGAAGAGGGCTGGTCCTCTAACTTCCAGTTTATGCTGGAGAGCTGCAATATTTCCTTCAATTGCCAAACAAGATGTCCAGAGCTACTCCACACTTACACACACATATAGCAATAGCATTTAGACTTACATACGGCTTCATAGTGCTTTCCAGCCCTCTCTAAGCGGTTTACTGAGTCAGCATATTGACTCCAACAATCTGGATCCTCATTTTACCGACCTCAGAAGGATGGAAGGCTGAGTCAACCTTGAGCCTGGTGAGATTCGATCTACCAAATTGCAAGCAGCTGGCAGTCAGCAGAAATAGCCTGCAGTACTGCATTATAACCATTGTGCTACTGCTGTTTATGCCATATAGTTACATTCCCACTAAAAGGGAAGAGAAAATAACAGCGAAATCTTTCCCTCTCAGAAATCTTTTGCACAATTGCCGTTTCTCCTGTGGATATTAGAAGTATGAATACAATTTGTTCTTGTTCTCCAGTGAGTTGACATAACCACTATTTTGCCTTTCTTGCCTTCCCTTGTCCTTTCTTTGCAATTTAGTTTCCTCTTAGCATGGCTTATTTAGATTGTAGTATAGAAGTTCTGCCTTCAATTGTTACAAGTCATAGTGTTTAAATAAAACTCAGTTTTGATAAAAAGCTACATTAATAACAAACTGGGAGTCAAATGTGGCTGATATGTAGTAAAGAATACTTCAAATGCAATTAGCTTCAGAATTATCTATATTTAATGTTGGCCTGACTACAAAGGGAAATTATTAGTAATGGTCTGGTCAGGAAGAGTGCAGTTTTTTTTAAAAAAAATGAATTCTTTAAAAAAAATGAATTTGGTCTTATAACCATAAACTATACTCCATCAGAAGATATATATACACTATATTGCCAAAAGTATTCGCTCACAACTGCTTCTGATTATGTGGATGGGTGAGCGAATACTTTTGGCAATATAGTGTAGCTTTGGCTACAGGCTCCTTCTATCTAAGGTAATATTAGAATCAATGCTGATTGTAATATACTCTCACCATAAGTCTGCACATGGAGTAGAGGACGCTGAATAAGGTTTCTAAGGCCATAATGCAGTCTTCTGTTCCATTCTCACCCTACCCATTAAGAGACAAAAGAGTAATTAGACAATTTTTATTTTTTTTATTTGTTCACATATTTTAAGCAAAATAGCAATCAGGTGTGAATAAAATATTAATTCCATCAAAAAGCATCTATTTTGAAGCCACTTGAAGCCGCTATTTCTCTAAATAAAGCAACATAAAAACAACTCAAATAAATGTCATGAATATATAAATGGGGGGAAAATTAATTTACCTTTAACCTCCGTCGATTCATTCTGACATACCAGTTGGTTAGAATGTCCACAAATTTAACCAGTCGAGGAACTACTGTGTACAGTCTGTAGGCTAAAAATTAAAGGGGGGAAAATGTGTAATTGTTTTTGTTTTTTGTTTTTCATTTCAGTCTCTTTTTCTCACAGAATGATTTGGTTAATACTGCAACAATGTTGTGACAAAATAATTAAAAAAGAGGAAGCATTTTTTTAAATTTAACTTTGCAAATCCACTACCAATCCCAGATTCAAACTTGCATTAACAATTTTTGCTTAAGATTAGTGACAGATGAATAGGAATTAAACCTACACTGAACAGGAATATGGAGATGCATTTACAGGGCAGTTTCCATAAATGCAGCAGTCTCTGAGAAGATGGTCCCCTGAGTTCCTGATATAATCCAAAGCATTTGCATTTTTTAAATTGATGTCTATGTTGCAATGAAGGGATACGCACAGATACAAACAGACAGACAGACAGACCGACTGACCACTGTTAGAGCTTTAATCAATAAGACTTTTCTGATTAAACAAATGGCAGAAATAATTATTTCACCAGCAAATCACATTTTGGGATGGATTTCTACTTTCTGCTTATGACTGATATGATAAATATATGTGAAAAGTATTTATTTTAACAGTGGTAGCTATCTACCGGTCACATCTACTCAACCCATTAGAGCAGGGAGGCAGGGAATGATGTGGGTCCCATCCCCAACGAAGGTACACCTGGCGGGACTCAGAAGAAGGACCTTTTCCATTGTGGCTCCCTCTCTCTGGAACATCATTCCCCCAGAGATTAGAACAGCCCCCACTCTATACTCTTCCGGAAGGCCCTGAAGACCTGGTTCTACTAGTGGGCCTGGGGAACCCAGAGTGGGATGGAGCCCATTAAATGGCTCGTTTGATCTGCTGTCACTGGGGCGGATTTTATTATATTAATTTATCTTATTCTTTTATTAGTTTATTGTTTTTTAACTTGGTTTTAAATTACATAAGCCACCTTTAGTCTCCATGGGCAAATAGGCAGCAATATAAATTTAATAAATAAATATTTTACCATTATATTTGTTCAGTTTCCACTGAAACTGGCAACTAACATTTAAAAATAAAGATATTAAACAAAAGATAAAAGCAAAAACTAGACCTATTGAAATGCGATGTTTTGAAGGGAAGGAGGGAAATGGCAGCAATGAAAATGAGGCATTTTTATACCAACATGTCCTTTCCCAACTCTCTGGACTAGATGCACACAGAGGAAAACAACATCGAAGCTGCTAAACAGAACTGGGTTGTGTCCATTAGGATGGCCAACAAGTTTTTAAAGAGCAACAGATACATAAAATATGTCAGTAATTGGCAGAGCAACTTTCTACAACAGTGATAATTTCCACACACACACCAAAAAAACCTGCACAAAAAGCCAATGAATTTCACTCAACATTCAACAAACCTGTATAATCTTACGCCTAAACAGATTGAGCATGCATATGGATCACAAGGCTAATTTGATCATAAAACACTGATAAAATGTACGTACCAGCCATCTCAGCCCTGAAGAACTGAATCAGTGATTGTGTGAAGGAAAGAATCCATTTATCCATGATGTTGTTGCTTTCTTTAATTGTATTCTCATTGTAAAGGAATTCCTTCCCATCTTTCTATGAACATGGATAAAAAATAAAACAAGGAATACAGTTTTGTTGCATGGAAAATGTTCGTAATTAGAACTTCGGGGGGCTTAACCAAGGGTTGAAAGCTAGCATTTTTGAGACAAATATACATAAAAACATGACTCCTGATTCTTCTAACTCATGTAGAGCCAGTAATAAATGTCATTGTTCTTAGGACAAGTTCTTCCATATGCAAACAACTACTAATATCCTGTATATCTGAGAATAAAAGATACCCCTTGAATGGCATTCAAAAGCCTTTTTTACCTTAACAACTATACCATTATGCATGATAATTTTCTATCCAGTCCTTCAGTTCAAATAGTTTGGCAAGGATATCATATCAATTTCAATTACATTAATAAGTCTAGAGACCTTTAAAACTAGATGTTTCATAGATGCTTCCAAGGTTCTCATTTAAGGACCTTTTATCTGGACTTCACTCCCATTGTAACATTTATTCATGAATAAATAATTTTATTGGCATAATTGCCAAAGCACATCACTTATACAAATACATTTTCTAGGCAATGAGCACAACTATAAGGAGACCAATATTTCGGTACCAAAATGCAGTTCAGTGATTGAATATTTTTTTAAAGTAAAATATTAGGGCAAACTTGAGTTGCTATATTGTGAAAAGTGCCTGGGGAGAGTCAGAAATAGCTGATTAATTATAAAACTTTGAAGCTCTGCTTTAACTATCCTTTAACTATCATAAAGGAAAATCACCGCCACCATGAGAAGCCAACAAGACGTATAAATGGGAAATTGCCTCCCATCCCACCAAGAGGTGTATAATTACAAGCTCCTCAAATGATCAATTTCCCACAAGCAACATCATGTATTTGAGAGTATATCTGTGATAAAGTTTTCCCTACCAAATGTTAGTTTCTGTGCACAATTACTTTTCTGAAACGCAGTAGCTGAGAGCACAGATTAAATTTTGCGACAGGTACAAACATTCATTACGTCAGAAATCATCAATGAAGTTCTCAAATACAGTGAGAGTGAAACCAATATTTCATTATATTCTGATAGATATAAACAATTGCTGTTGTTGTTGCTGCTTCTACTACTGCTGCTGTTGCTATTAAATTCCAAAGATGGATCCCAGAGGCAGAGGACAGATTCCTATGATATTGGTGGGATGGGAGGCAATTTGCCATTTACATGTCCTGATGGTGGCAGTGATTTTCCTTTATGATAGTTTCTTTTTAAAATAAATTCATCTCAATGGTTACAACAAAAGATGTTATAAAGCTGTGCTAATTCAAATATGGCAAAATTATCAATTAAGGACTTTGACAAGAACAGAAAGGGGTTTGAATTCCGTAGATTAGCAAAAGTTTCAGCCATCAGAATTTGGATCATGAAGTTTCAAAAACTTCTGAAGGCCCTGCTGTATTATTATATTTAACCAATCTAGGACACAGATAAGTTTAAATTTAAACCCTACAATACTTTTATTATATCTGTGCATAGGGTTACAGCTTTTATTGCTTTTAAAAGCAATTATTCCAAAGCCATACTCTTAAGCAACCCAATGAACTACTTTTAAATCCAAAGTACTACTTCTGATTTCTGCTCTCAAGGGTGCTTCTATTAGTTAGAATAGCATGTATGCTTTCAGAGAAGTCATTTTGATGGTGAAAAAAGATCTATAACATAATATTGGTTTATAAACTCGCTTCAGAACTACCTTGCTTAGCAATTGAATCTTTAAGTCCAATTGTGATTTGTAATTTGAAGACTATCTTTAAGTGGTCTAAAAACCAAGTCCTATTAGGAATAATAAAAGAGGTGGGCATGCTTAAGAAAAAAGTAAGAGAAAGTTAGATGGTTGTCTATAAAAATCTTTTTAAAAGTGTCTCATACAAGGGAAAGGCGATTTAAATATCTGTTGAACTGAGAGCAAGACAAGAACCATCAGATTAAAATTAAGAGCCATTAGAAGTGAAGATTATATTGTATATATTATGAGAATAATGGCTATAATTATGATGTATAATATTATGTATATTCAAAAGAGATTTGATACAGAAAGTACACTGTCATCGCACAAATGGAAACATGATGTATAACAAAGGAAAATGTATAATAAAAAATAATATGTAAAAAAAATAAGAAAAAAAACAGTATTATAGAATATTAGATGATGTTGTAACTCCCACTTCTGGAGGCTCTCAACTGAAGACTGGATGGACATATATCAGGCTGGATTTTGTGGATTCTTGCACAGAGTAATAAAACCAGGTATGGTAGCAGCTATTCCAACTAACATGTTTACTCTATTTCCAATTAACAAATAAGCTTTTATGAGCTGCATCTCACTTCATCAGATACATAAATACACTCTTAACATGCCTTTCCTTCTACCACTCAATGAAGAAAGTAATAGATTAGGAGACTTTTCAGGATCCTCAAACTCATATATTCAGTGATTCTATAATTCTTGGTTTTTCATCTAGCCTTCGTCATTATTTAATTTATGTTCCTGGCCCAGAGTTCTTCTTAGATATAAAAATGACATTGGGGACTAGTGCTTTCCTCTCTTCTCGTTAACTTTTTTTTATTAAATATATATGAAATTTTGCACAAGTACTCTGCTATGCCCCAGCAGAGATGCCCATAGCTATCACTATGACAAACTCAGTATCTGACATTAAATGTTTAAAACAGAACAGAATATTAAGATCAATAGTTCCAGACCCAGGTATATAATGTTGGTTTTACAGCTTTGTGGATCTAAATGTAGAGCTCCATACACCACATCTGATATTCTAATCATTGTGACAATGGCTCCAATAAGAGCAAAGATAAACTATATTTCCATTTAATTTTAAAACTGCACTGAGGCATATTGAGTGTAGTTTGATGAAAATAAGTCAAGAAAACTGCCCAAAATTTCTGGGAGCCAAGGAGCATATAAATTGAATAACAATAATACAAATAGAAGCCTGGGCTAAAAACTTGGAAATGCAATAGAATTAGATAAATGGCAGAAACTATGGGATAGAAATGTTAAATTGACTATGTCAACTGCATATAAAGAAAATTTGTATAAAATGGTAAAACTGGCTAAAATGTACAAAGATAGATCTGCTAAATGTTGGAAGTGTAATCAACCATTGGGTTCATACTATCATATGTGGTAGACTTGCCCAAAAGCTAAAAAAAATATTGGATGAAAATACATACTTGATTGGGGGGAAAAAATGATAAAGTAGCATATAGACTTGAAACCAGAGATATTTTTGTTGGGCATCCTACTGAAAAAATATGATAAAAAGACTATATCTATGGTTTTACATATACTAACTGCAGCCAGAATTGCATTTCAACAACAATAGAAAATGATGAGACTCTGTCAGATGAGAATGTAATTAAGAAAATACTAGAATGCGCAGAAATGGGTAGACTGATGCTTACTATTAAGGATAAAGAAGAAACTGAATATTTTTTGACGTGGAATGTATTTTATCAATGGTTGGACAATAGAAGCAGAAGTTAGAAAGGAGGAGATATAAAAAGAGGAAATGTTAATGTGGAGAGAATTTGAAGATGAAGATGTTATGTATTATTGTAATTGTATTATTATATAGTTATATTAATATTACTGTGATAAATATAACAATAAATATGTGAATAATAATAATAATAACAACAACAACAACAACCTCTCCAAGGAGCTTTACCTTGTAGTAGTGGAGGGGCTTACACGCTCTCGTGATCCTAAGGGCTATGCTGAACAGGTCATATCAGACAGTCTCAGGTGAAGGGCCAGACAAAATTTGCTCCACAACCCATTCAAACATGGTGAACACGAGAAAAATGAAATTTATGCCAGCTGAACTGTCACCCGGATTAACAAGGGTTCCGTTGGATGCTATGGCTCCTGGGCATTCTGCACAAAATGAGCTACAGGGTTCAGCTCCCTCTGCTAGGCAACCAGGGCATGGAGCTGACAAGCTACTGGAAGAAAAAGCAAAAAAGCGAAAAATCTGGACTAGGGAAGAAAAGATCTCTTTTAAGGAGGCTTACTATCAGTCTGAGCCAGAAAAACATGGATTTCAAAAACGAATGTATCAAATTTGGAAGGTGAACCACACGGACTGTGATATCAGTGAACAAAGGCTAATGGACCAACGACGTGTAATTCTGAGCCACAAATTTATCACTACAGCAGAATTAACAGGAAACAAGAAAAAGCAACTAATGGTCTGAGTATACCAACAAAGAAGAGTAACATCAAGAATGATTTGCAGACTCAAAAGCAAATTGAGGAAGAAAGGTAGGAAGAGACTGCTGAAATGGATGAAGATAAAGAACAAGGAAGCACTGAAGAGCAACCACCAACAGATATTGCTCAATTAGGTGAGAAAATAAAGTATCAAATGGAAGATGCTGAAAGAACACGTTTGCCAAAGTTGAACCAGAAAGAATTGAGAAATGTACTAAAAATGGTCAATGAGGCTGTGCAAACCATTCAAACCACTACATTAGCTGAAACAAACCAGCTGATGTATGCAGCAGCCTTCATAACCACCAAAGAATTGGGTTTGAAAATACAAAGGAACCAAAGATATATTTTAAGAAGGTATTTGGTTGATACCTAGGACCCTGGCAGCAAACCATATCAACCATCAGCACCAGTCAATGGTATTTGTAATGCATTTTTGAATGTTCAGTTAGCTGAGTTTCATGTTTAATGAATAAAGTATATAAATAGAAACCATTAAAAAAAAAAGAAAGCAGATAGATAGTGTTTAAAATTTCCGTTTAATAATGGTGGAAACACACACACACAAACACCAATATGCGATCATTGGCAATATTTGAAAGTTTTATACCTTGAGTTGCAGAATGACAACATTCTGAATCAGAAAGCGATAGGCATTATACCAGGGCAGGAAAACATCTTTCAGCACATCTCTTACACCTTCCTCCTTGAATCTTAGGTTTTCTGCTCTTACAACTGGAGAATTGATAAGGTACAACCTATAGCAGCAAATAAAAACATAGAGAAACTTTTTCTGCTTTCAAATGTTCAGCAGCCACTTTAAACATGTGTACTTTTAACATTCTGAAAATTCTTTTACCCAGGAAAGATGGGTTGATATTGCTTAGCAACTTGCAATGCAATGTTCCCTATTCAATGGCGTTTTAATCAACGGTGTTAATCTAATTCCAAGCCTCCCCACACAAAACTTACTGTAGCTACATAAAAATTTATTAGCATTTACAGAACAGCCTAATAGACTCAGGATATTTTATTAATTGCAATCTTATTTTATCTGCTGAATGCAACTTTAGAAATCCATTTGAAAAGACTTTGTTCTCAACTCGTTCATTTCATTCTTTTCAAGTATTTTTTCATGTTTTCAGGCAATAGCTTTCTCCAACTTAATTTTTTTTTCTAGGCACACTCCCAGATTTCCATCTGATTTAATTTTGCAAGATTACCATGAAGACTAATTTTAGCTAAGGTTTTAAAAAACCCAAATCCAAAATATTCTTAATATCTTATTATGGCATACCACTGATTCAGAAGATGCTCAATAAACTTACTATCATGTTCACATGATAGAACTGACCCAGCTACTCTGTGTCAGTCACCTGATTCATCTTGGTGCACCAACAGTACATAATATATAATCTTCAAGTTAACTATATGTTTTTTTTTCAATTTTCTACTACTGTAAACTTATAGCAATAGCAATAGCACCTAGACTTATATACTTCTTCACTATGCTTTACAGCCCTCTCTAAGTGGTTTACAGGGTCCTTATTTTACCCAACTTAGAAGGATGGAAGGCTGAGTCAATCTTCAACCTGGTGAGATTAGAACAGCCAAATAGCAGGCAGCCAGCAGGCAGCAGAATAGCCTGCACTCTAATCACTACGCCACCGCAGCTCATTTTTAAAATATAAAGAACTTCCCATGCTATCCCAATACATCCTTGCCATGCTATCCCAATACATCCTGAGGGCATCAAAGACTCACAGAAATTAATGAGAACAGGAAGAGAAGACGAGCACATTCATACCTCAGTGCATCAGCTCCATAAGAGTTGACAATTTTTGTTGGATCTGGGTAATTCTTCTTTCGTTTGCTCATCTTTTGCCCATCACTAAAAGGGATTAAATATAGGAAATATAACAAAACACACCTTTTTTTGGCAGTTTTCACATTAATTCAACTGCCTATGAGAAAGCTGTTCAACATCTGACAAAAGACAAGAAGTATCTATATTTTAAAACGCTGATAATGTGCTGCAAAATACAGACGGGAAAAAAAACAACCATTAATTTGGCAATCCACATTTAATAGTTTAAACTTATGGTTAAGTCTCATTACCCAAACCTTTTTCAGTTTATCTTACCTCTCTGATATTATAGCTGAACTTGAATCCTTATTCAAGGAACTGTTACTTCATTTTAAGGAGCCCAATAAAGACTCCCGCCTTCTTGACCTTCTGAAAGAGCCTGAAGACTTGGCTCTCCCAATTGGCTTGGGCCCCCAAACGGGGGGGAACCACACTGTAGATGGTTGATCAACTAATAGCAGCTCCCGCCTTACCACCACCACCACTACCACCCCCAGGTACATTCTGCTTCTTTTATACATATTCATAATATTATTATCTTTTAGTTTTAGTGATAATTTGTATTTCTGTATAATTTATATAGCCTGTTTCCCTGAAATAAACCTTCCCAGATAGTAAGACCAATCGGGCTTTTGAGTGCATGCGCTAAAATAAGCCCTCCCCGAAAATATTGCAACAAAACAGCAGCCATGAGGTGACCATGCTCACTGCCTCCTGCACCTCAAAAATAATAAGATGTCCCCGAAAATAAGGCCAAGTGCTTATTTGAGGGGTCAAACATGGTAACACGGTAGATATATATTTATGGTTTTAGCTTAATGTTGTAAGCCACTCAGAATAGCTTTGCAGTGAGATGGACAGAAACAGATTTAATAAATAATAATAACACCAAGGATGACCCATGAAAAATACTCAATATAGGCAGCAGAAATTTAATAAGGAATAAAATATTATACTTGCCTGGCAAGAACTAGGCCATTTACAATTACATTTTTGAAAGGAGGCTTTCCGAAGAGGGCTGACGATAACACCAGCAAAGTGTAAAACCTGGGAGAAAAAAGTGATACTAGCTGACTCTAGGCCGGTTGTTATTAAAATAATATACATACATTTTTGCAAAATCATTTTTAATTAAACCAAGCCAAATCTTTATATTATATTTGAACGCATGGGCATATTAATTCATTTCCCAAAATTATATTCTGCTTAACTTCTGGAAAATATGAACTTGGATTATTATCTTGAATTACTGGCTTCTGAAATACCTGTCTGAAACATTTGTAGGTATGTGTTGCTCACTATAAATAATACTTAAATATTTATATAAGACGCACCTTTTTCCCTTTAAAAAAGAAGCTGAAAATCTGGGTGCGTCTTATACACTGAATACAACATTTTTTGCCTCCCGAAACCCTGCCCCCTTCACCAAAATCGCCGTACATAGCCTTTAGGAGGCTTCCAGAGTGCTCCTGGGGGCTGGGGAAGGCAGAAATGAGCACAAAACGGGACATTTTTGCTCAGTTCTGGGGGAGGGCACCCCAGGAGCACTTTACAAGCCTCCTAAAAGCTATTCATGCCCCTTTTTTTAAAAAAATGGGCCGTTTTTGCAAAAAAACGGTTGTTTTGGGGAGGTTTGCAGAGTGAAAAAAATTTTTTTGATTTGCCTCTTCAAAATCTTGGTGCGTCTTATACTCCGGTGCGTCTTATACTCTGAAAAAATGGTATTTAAACCATTGTACTTTACCCAACTTATGTGACCCAGAAAGCTTGTCTGCCCTCTGGAATGATATTCATCCAAACATCCAGATGGATGTATCCTGATGTCACTGATGTCACTGCAGGAAGCTAGTAAAACCCTAACTAATGTATTCTCCTAGCTTGGGGCCAAAATGAAGTTCAGTCTGTGGGATTGTGTGTTGTTTTGGGGGCCATTCATATTTTTTTTCCTTTTATACTTTTAATTGTAAACTGCCCAGAATTATTGGGAGTCAGACAGTCTATCAATTGTAAATAAATAATCCTTACCCACCATATTACATGACTGATGCAGGTTGCCTTACTTTGGCTCAGAAAGAAGATGCTTTTTTTAAGAAACAAATTAGTGGGAAAGGCAAATGATCTGAACAATAGTGCCCATGTAGCCAGCCAACTTGTGATGGGTGAAATTAATTCTTGTTGCTTGCCTTTAACCATTGTAATATCTAGGTAAGGTTTCTCTTTTTATTCTCAATACTTGTCTTATCTTTTCCCCTCCCCTAATCTTCAATTTTATTTTCCTCTTTTTTCTATCAGTGTATCTAACCCATCACACGTTTTCCTTGACTTCTCTTTTCCTGTTTCTGTTGAAAGGAGGAAGGTTTTTCTTATAGTGGTTTTAAATGAGTCAAGGCTGATAAAGCCAGATGTGAAACCAATTCATTGTACATATTTTATTTTACAAGCAATTAATATTGATACATAATACAATTAATTAATTTATTATTATTGTATGATCCTTGTCCTTTTGGGTTCTGTGGTTCAGGCAGATATATATGCACATTTCCATAGCACTATTATCTACACATTTACAAGTGTGTTACAAATACACATTCACTAGGGCAAAAAGCTAAGGATTGCTTTCAGTTGGAATTTGCTAAGTTAAAAGCAATGTGTAGGATTTTGGTTTATGTGGTTGATCACACAATCAAACAGATGTTTAAGTTGGATTTGACATTTTTATTCATTTTTACTTAGTCCTTCACAAGATCTGGGAAAGGTAGATATTGTGTGATTGGTGTTAAATATGTTGTTGCAAGATGTTCAGCTACAAAGCTATTTTTTGTAATTAACTGTTGAGTTTGGCAATGCAGGTAGTGTTTAATCCACAGATACTTTGAAATTATTATTTATACTTCCTTTTCAAAGTATTGTCTTAGATTTGGGATCTCTCTTTTGGATAAAAAACAGCTCTATTTTAAGATAAGAATTCTCAACACACTACTACATTTATGAAGTCTTGCATAGAATAAATAATAAAACTGTTACCATCCTCTGGTTTGGTCAATGCCTTCAGCTATGAAATCAGCAGGAAAAGCATCTTCAAATTCTCTCTTATTCTCAAATGGATAATGGACTTGGGCATAAGGCATACTTCCACTTTCAAACCAGCAGTCAAACACTTCTGAAACACGATGTAAGACACCTTTGCCACAGCATGAAGGGATAGTTATGTGATCAACACTAAAGAGAGAAAAAAATCCAGTAACTGATACTGAATATTTATTTCAGAAGTAGTAATGTAATATTTTTCCCTAGTGTATAGACACCATCAGTTTTGGTGGTTTTATCGTTTCAATTAACACAGATGTTGTATTATTCATACTGTTGATGTTTACTTTTGCGGAAAACTGCTGGGAAGCAATTCATTGAAATCTGTGTTATTTAATTTTAATAAATAAATAAATAAATAAATAAATAAATAAATAAATAAATAAATAAATAAATAAATAAATAAATAAATAAATAAATAAATAATGGCGTGGCAATCCCTAAAGTCAGCCCTAACGCAAGACAGCACTTTTAAAAAAGCTGAGCAGTGGAGTTTGTGGGACTCCTTAAGAGGAAAAAACACCAACCTCTTTAATGAATCAAGGCCAGGGCTTCTTGTAGGAGGAGAACTCCTTGAAGGCTTGCTCTTTGTTTGAAACAATTCTCTTTTTTCCTGATATATATTGTGCTAGCTTCAAGTTCTTCGTTCCTTTTGACTTTCTGAGCTACGGATTTATCCCCAGTTTTCAATCCTTAGACTAGGGGCCATTTCAGTTTCTGAAATTTCAGACTGTCAGGCTTTATCTTCCATTGTAAGTTCACCTACTGACTTACTCTCTGTTCCAGTCTGCAGGCAAAAATTCTCTTAATATGACTTTTGCTGTACGGATGCCTTAGTCTCCCTCTACAATCTTCAGCCTCTCTATTTCACATTGAACTGATCCACAGCTAAATTAATAAAGCACTTAAAACCAACACACCAATTCATTATTCCTTGTGAGCCTTGAACAGGAATGGTCGCTGAAAGGTACTCATGCTGGCTCATTCATTCAATAAGAGCACAAGGAAGATTCTTTTCAAACACTACAAACACTTTCTCCCAGTATATCCAAACTGATAAAAGGACACACCAAGGGGGATTCACACATGATGGCCCATATATCTTCTAAAATGAAGTTTGGGGGGGGGGTGTTAAAATAATAATTCAAAGTGGACAAATGATAAGCTTGATGAATCTTTACTTGCTTCTAGAATAATCACGAACCTTTCTCTGTGGAGATCAGTGATTTTCACTCCTGACAGTTCTTCCAGTTCTGCTACAGACCCAATACAAACCACCTGTCAACATTCAATACATTTGCATATTTATTTATTTGTTTTTTAAAAAATAAACATTTCTCTAAATTAAAAGTAGAAGCAGTGACTCCAAAATAGGAACTGAATTTGTGAGTTTAACCAGTACATTTTAAATGTGTGTTTAATTTTAAATGGGAAAACATCATTTTTCATAATCAAATACTGTAACCTTTTAAGGAGGGCTATATAGTCTGCAGTGACAAAGGCTGGCTAAGATATTACATGCACAAATGCCCTATGGATCCTGTATCCATTGCAAATGAGCCTATTCTTAGACAAGACTCAGAAATTAAGTGCCCCCAAAAGCTACTTATGGTAGAGTTGGCTATCTTTGTAAAACAATTTAGGCTAGTACAAATCAGCAAGAATCTCATATCTGAACATGAGCAAAAAATATACAAAGCACATTTATATAAAATATAAGCTATCAAGTTATTTAGTTCATAAGAATTATGATACAAAGTTCATTCTCGTATTGCCTTTTCTTACCTACCTCTTCAAAATCATCACTGACCCACAATGGAATAGGTGTTCCCCAATAACGGTTTCGTGAAATAGCCCAATCCCGTGCATCTCTCAACCAGTTGCCAAACCGCTTCTCTCTCACGAAGTCAGGAACCCTAATCATTTTTAAAAAGATTCTTAATTATGCACTGTTATGTGTACATTCTCTTCTGGGTTGGCTGACATTTCCTGCTCATTTAACCATAGTTAACTGTCAGGAGAAATCTTCTCTCCTACTCCTAATAGCACTAGCAGTAGCATATAGACTTTCTAGCCTTCTCTAAGCAGTTTACTGAGTCAGCCTATTGTCCCCAACAATCTGGGTTCTCATTTTACCCACCTCGGAAGGATGGAAGGATGAGTTAACCTTGAGCCTAGTGAGATTCGATCTGCCAAACTGCTGGCAGCTGGTGATCAGCAGAAGTAGCCTGCAGTACTGCACTCTAACCACTGTGCCACTTTCATCCCAGCAATCTCAGCCATTAAGACTTACATTTCTACCAATCTTGATTCTTAGCACTGGCCCATAAGAAGCATTATCCCTCTCCCAGTGCGCTATTTATTGTTATTTTACATTTCATTTTTTCATTGGGCCACTCAGTGGTAAGCAGAGTCTTGTTCTATTCAGTGGCCCTATGCAAGATTCTTAATGCATGCCTCAGTGTTTATTTCTATCTCTTGAAAGCCCCCATTTTTCAATGGTTAATCAAAGAATATTAAATAGTAATATTTAGTTTTCTTGAACAAGAATCAGTCAAAACAGAAATTCATTCCACATTTCACTTTATAAAATAAGGGTTCATATTAAATTAATTAGGTTTTAGAACATAGTTTTCATGCCCTATGAGAATGTAATTGTCTTCAAAGATTTTAGAATATGAACTTATTAAACTGCACTCTTAATGCTGACCTTAGAAGAATCTTTAAAATCACAAATGGAATACTGAATAAAGATAAAAGAGCAACTGAGCAAGATATGGATGGGTGGTATCTTCCTTTCTGAGTATAGAAAAATATATCCCAATTTAATTTGCTAAGTAGAAATTCAGAAAGGAAACAATATAAGCAAAATTATATATTATTTTGCAACATGCTTTATATTTTTTTCAGAGTCTGAACATCCATGTTTTTTAAATCAAGCACAGCATACAATACAAAAATACTAAGAAGCAAAATATATAGCAATTGCATTCTCTGCTCAAAGAGAAAACTTCTGAACAGCTGCAATATAAAGTATAAAATATAGAGAAATTCCCCTTAAGGGACTGTAGAAAATAGATAGTTGTTCTCTGATTGATCAATTGAGTATGTGTCATAAAGCTGTTTTCAACTCCTAGCAACCATGTAGTCTGTTCTCTAGAAACAATCAAAAGGGAAAGAATGCTGAATGTAACTATTAATATCCAAAGACATGCTTGGGCAACATCTCTGCCCCCATGTAACAACAATAAAGATACAAAGTCCCACCAGCATTTTTTAAAAAAATTCAAATCCATACCATGACATAACTACTACAGCCTTTCCCAGGTAATTATTTTTCCAGACTCATTTTTGAGCCAGCCAAACTTTCTAGAGCAATTTCATAGAACACGGACCTATCTTAGAGCTTTTTAAAAAAACCAACTGTGCTTTATGACATAGAACTGTATCTTTTAATAGAGGTTGATTATCACTTGGTCTATGGCTGTCATCTAGTTTATTGCCAATTTCAAATTACCGATTCATATATCCACTGCCATAGCTAGGCTTAATGAGAAAAAGAAGTACAGCTAGGTATCATCCAGGAATCCTACAGCCTGCATGTCACATACAACATTACTTATAAACCTTGGTTTATACAATTATTAGAGTAACTTCTATTAGTTACTCTCAGGTGTAATGAAATCACATGAATAATTTGGTTCTTTCCTTCTCCTTCATCCACTACATACTGGAATGAGGCTGGGTAGTTTGCAGTGCAGTGTGATGTGATGGCATGGTGTGAACCCGGCCCTATCATGGCTATTAATAGTAGTGACATGGTTTTGCTTGGGCACAGAATATTACATGAATGTGACCACTGTATTTTGTTAACCTGGTTTAACAAGTTCTATGAACTCAGCCACCTACTAACTCACTGAATATATTCTTTCATCTCTCCCCCCACCCACCCTACTCAGGAATATTATCTTGACTGTAAGGGCAATATCAGAAGCAACTAGCATGAAACCAAACTCTTCTGATACAAAGTATTACCTAACCTAATAATGAAATACCTGCAGGAAAATAACTAAGCCCAGAACTCAATAGTTCAAGCCTGAGCAACCTCTAATATATAACACATATAGGCAAAAAAATGTTTCAGAAAACATGCACATGGGAGAAATGGAGAGGCAGGCAAACCCTTACAATAATGAGCAAGAGAATCCCTGCATACAAGCCTGACATTGACAAACGTTCATCTCTTTCTTATATCCCTTCTCCCTTTTTCCAAATACCATTCGGGTCTTAAAACAACAAACTCCTGTGCCTTCAATGTGAAATCCCAAAAGGACTGTTACTCACAAGAACTCTGGGAAATCTCAAAAGTCTCACCCAGTTGTAAATCTGGCATGAATCAGATTTTCTTGGAAACAGAAACAGACAAAGCCATTAGGACTTCTGCCGCCTTTATTAGAATCATTTTCCCTCATTTTATACTTATCTGTATCCTGGCCAAACTTTCATATGCTCTTCTTATCTTTAGAACACTATATTTGTATTTCTTTGTATTGCTTTTTAATTAATAACAAAAAAGAGAAAAACAGCAAAACCCAAAGATAACAGTGATGGAGATACAAACATTGTCAAAAGACTAGGAAAAAAAAAACACAAAAAAGTACTTTAGCAAAAAAGTGAAAGAAATATGACAAAGTAAAAATATGTGTCATTATAACAATAAACACTTAGAATTCTATATATACACTTGTCTAACGTAAGTACTATTCACGTACATATACATTCCTAATACATTTATTGGACTCCATTTCGATATCTTGCCCCCAGATGCAAAATTGGCCCGTGGTCTCCTGGGCCTTCCAGATGAGCATGAAGACTTAGCTCTGCCAACTGATGCGAGGATGAAAGATGGGCACAGAATCCTGGGGCGGTTGGTGGCCCGAGATTGCTCTCTCTGCCTTTTAACCTATCTTTTATCCTTGCTTTTATCTGTTTGTCAACTGTATTTTTATTATTTTATTTGTAAACTGCCTAGAGTCTTTTAGATGGATAGTACGAAATTATGTTTACATAGAAAGGACTATCAAAAACAGCACTCTGTTGGAGATGTAATAAGGATAATGCTTCTTTAAAACATATGTTTCTTACCAAGTTTGGGGAGAAAGTTATGGATTATATAAACATGGTTATGCAACAAAAGTTAAAATTTTCAGAGGATTTTTTTTTAAAAAAACCTATACACCTAGTATATGAATTTGTCAAGCGGACAACGTAAATTGATTCTCTGTGCCCTTACTAAGAATAAAAGTCTGACATTGTGACACTGGAAATATAAGTGCATGGCTACATTTATTCAATAGTTTGAAGGCCTTATTGTAATTGCCACTCACAAGCAGATTGCTTTTAGATGCAGACTTTGTATAATAAGTATAATAAAAGAAGAGATTTTTGTAGACAGAATATAAGACTAAACAAAAAACAATTACCTTACCAAATAACTATGGTTAGTGTATATTTTGTTCTTAACAATAACCAGTCAACCAAACAAGAAAACAGTTTTAAAAAGAATTTGTATTTCCCAAAGAAATTTTGCAAGTTGCTTAGCCCTACAGGGGACATACATAAGGAATTTATGTGCACTTCTGATTTTATATTCCACCAGGAGATACTTTAGAAAAGCAATTATTATATACTGCCATCTAGTTTTACAGTCTTGTTATGGCTTGCTTACAATATGTTCTTTTGGAAAATTATAATCAGTTCTAAAGTATTGGACTATAAAACCTGACTAGTTCATCTGCTGCACTCAGTCATTGGGATCCCAATTAGTCAACTCACCACTTCTAACTTGCTTTGGACCAGAGTGTCCCAAATTCTTAGGTGTATCTCCCTTAGGGAGGTGCCAACAGAACATTTTAGCTGTACATTGTTCAAATAAATCCACTTTTCCCAAAGTTTCATTGTATTATTTTCCTGGTTCGTTTCTCTTCATTTTGTTCTTTGGAATTTTAGAGGAGGTACATACATTTAGACTGCACTAAAGGGAGGTATGATGGCGAAAAGTTTAGGAATCCCTACTTAGTTAAATTACAGTTGCTGTTAGTTGCGAACTCATGTACGACCCATCGTAACCCCATGGACGACGTTCCTCCAGGCCTTCTTGTCCTCTACCATCCTCTGGAGTCCATTTAAGCTGACGCCGAGTGCTTCGGTGACTCCATCCAGCCACCTCATTCTCTGTCGTCCCCGTCTTCTTTTGCCCTCAATCTTTCCCAGCATTAGGCTCTTCTCCAGTGAGTCCTTCTTTTCATTAGATGACCAAACTATTTGAGTTTCATCTTCAGGATCTGGCCTTCTAAGGAACAGTCAGGGTTGATCTCCTCTAGGACTGACTGATTTGATCGCCTTGCAGTCCAAGGGACTCGCAGGAGTCTTCTCCAGCACCATAGTTCAAAGGCCTCAATTCTTTGGCACTCAGCCTTTCTTATGCTCCAACTTCCACAGCACAGTAAGCTGTAAATCACAATACAGTACTCCAACCTTTCTCAGATAATGGCATCTGTGGGAACCTGAGAATATTTCGTAACAACTCTCCAAAACAGATAATATTGGAGACGGTTGCCCTTTCACCAAATGATTGTAATGGATGTCCAATGGAAAAATGCCCACTGATCAGCAGGACAACTGATGAGGAAGTGCCTGTCCCTTTTTGTCTTTTTTTTAAAAAGCCCTTTGACCCCCTCAACTTATGCTCGCTTAGATTCTCTTTTCTGGGAAGAGAGGAGCAATCCCAAGTAAAGGGGTGAATTGCCACCAGTTGCCATTTTTCTTTTCTAAGAATAAATAGCATGCACGCATTTTTAGAGAGAAAAATATTGGGGATGACAGCTTCATTTAAAGAAAAAAATATAATGAACTTTTAAAAATGAGAGTGAGCAGCCATACTGTTGGTTATTGAGATATTTCAGAGCCCCTGGGCACCACACAGGGAATCTCTCAGCCCTTCAAGGTAGATAAGAAACAAGATGCTGCATAGGCCTAAAAATTATTGTTATTCAAATGGCTCACTGGAGAAGAGCCTAATGCTGGGAAAGATTGAGGGCAAAACAGAGGATGAGGTGGCTGGATGGAGTCACTGAAGCAATCAGTATGAACTTAAATGGACTCCCAAGAATGGTGGAAGACTGGAAGGCCTGGAGGAATGTCTATGGGGTTGCGATGGGTCAGACATGACTTCGCAACTAACAACAACATAGTAATGGAATCTTGCAAGCCTGAATAACCTTTTCTTCCTCTCTCTTTTATCTTGTTATGAATAATGGAATGCTGCAGTGGCGCAGTGGCTAGAATGCAGTACTGCAGACTACTTCTGCTGACTGCCGGCTGCCTGCAATTTGGAAGATCAAATCACACCAGGCTCAAGGTTGACCCAGCCTTCTATCCTAAGGTCAGTAAAATGGGAGCCCAGATTGTTGGGGGCAATATGCTGACTCTGTAAACCATTTAGAGAGGGCTGTAAAGCACTGTGAAGTGGTACATGTCTAAATGCTATTGCTATTAGTTGTTTCATAAATTTCTATCTTAACCTAAATCTGTTTGTTGCCTCGCTCCATCAATGTACTCCTTACTACTTTCTCAAGAATTTTAGAACTGTAGACCCAGTTGCTCTTATTGATAAGGAAACAGAACTTCAGATATGCGTCATTTATAAAATAAACACTATTTATGTAAAACATTTGTATGTCATTTCTCATTTTATATATTCCAATTTGTTTATTTGGATTGTTTAAACTTGCCATTCTAAAGGAATGATTTTTGGTTTTTTCTCTTTGACAGTTCCATTTAACTTAAAATTACAGACTAGTTGCACTTTGCTCCTTCTAGTTAGTAGTTAATTAGAATCTTGATTTTTAGTTAGTAAATTCCTAAATATAATATGAGGAAACAATATAAAAAATATTTTTATTGCTACAATTTCTTATTACTAGAACTTAGGGTTATTCACTTTTAAATGATCAGCAAGATCATAGTTCATCATAGTTTAAGATCAGCTATTCCTAAATCTTAAAATATGTCAGTTCAAAAGCACATTAGTATTAAGTCATCTCATTAAAAACTAATTAGCAATTCAATTATGTTATAAAATTTGCCAAATCATATTCAATCTAGTTCATCACAGAAAACACCTATAAGGAATAAAAAGGATTCCTAAGAGACATTAAGTCCTATCAATCGGCAATTATTCTATAGTCAGCGCAAGCATCACAATGAATTCCAAAGATTTTATAGAATCCACAAGTCTTTGGTCCTCCAGAGTTTTTATACTTAGAACACAGCAAATTCCTCAAGAGTCTTGACTGAATTAACAGACAGTAGCCTTGTATCTTTACATGGTGCCAAAGTCGAACAAACTGTAGTTATTTTGAGCATTCTCAAAAATTTTGATGACATTTAATCCAAATATATATAAATACACACAGACACACAAAAACACACTTAAAATGACCATGTAAACATAAAACACATTTTAAAATACCATATTAAAGGGTCAAAATGTGGAAATTAATCTGATATAGATGCCCATTAACATACAAAATAGTTTAATACTATTATTTTTCCCATTAGCATATTAGTACTGCAGTATGTATAAAAGGATTTACTTTCTATAGACTCTATAAAATCCTAAATTCCTTCATCTGCTATCATAAACCAGTGAGTAGAATCTGATACAAAGGATTTCTTTACATTTAGCTGAATAAAAAGTTTCTACCATTCTAAGATGCTATTCTCATCCACAGATGAACTTTTAGATTAAAAATAAAACCCTTCATCCTTAATGTCATGAAGCATAAACTGCAATTTGATCCTCTTGCATTAATGATCTTTCCAGAGCCAAAACAAGCATTATGCTAAAAGATTTGAACAGCAAGATATCACTGAACAAGTTCTATTCAGTAAGACTATTCTCTATATTTATTTCACATATTCTTGGTAAGTAGCATATGCTTTTGTTTTTAATTAGATTATGAATTGTCAAAACAAAGATTATGTTTACAAAGCTTGCTAAAAGACATTCTCCTGGGTTTTCCCAAGTCAAGAATTCAACTCCACAAAATTAAAATAAGGCAGAGTTTAAGTTCACTTGGCAAAATACACATATCACATTCCCATGCCACTAACTGCCATGTTTAAAATAAAAAGGAGGGGAAGGCAGCAAGCTTTATATAGTTCTACAACATACAATATCATGAAAGTATTTTGGGGGGGTTAAGACCTCCTCCCTATTAATTTAATGCATGAATGCTGATTTGTTGTATGCAGAATGTAGACTCAGAATGTCCCAGCATTCCTTAGAACATTTTGATGTTTGATAATGTTCCAGTTTGGCCTTTTGGGGGATGGTTCCTTCAATTCCAAAACATGAATTATCCAGTACAGAAAGAGGTTTATAGCGTTGTAGATGTTGTCTGTGATGGCTCGGTAGTTAAAGTCACTGAGCTTGTCAGCTGGGAAGCTGATAGCCTGGGCTCAAGAGCCGAGTGCCGTGTAACGGGGTGAGCTCTCATTACTTGCCCCAGCTCCCACCAACCTAGCACTTTGAAACCATGATGCAAGTAAATAGGCACCACTTCGGTGGGAAGGTAACAATGGTCCTGTGCACTTTGCCGTACAGTCATGCTGGCCACATGACCACAGAAAAGTCTTTGGACAATGTTAGCTCACCTCAGGTAAGAAACAAAGATGAGCACCACTCCCTAGAATTGAACATAGCTGGTCAGGGGAAATCTTTACCTTTACTTTAGATGTTGCCTAGTCCTGAAACTCAGTCTGACTCCTTTCTAATAAGGTTGACTTCAGAAATGTCAAATGCCTATTTAGCAATAGCAGTTAGACTTATATACCGCTTCATAGGGCTTTCAGCCCTCTCTAAGCGGTTTAGAGAGTCAGCATATCGCCCCCACAGTCTGGGTCCTCATTTCACCCACCTCGGAAGGATGGAAGGCTGAGTCAACCTTGAGCCGGTGAGATTAGAACCGCTGAACTGCAGATAACAGTAAGCTGAAGTGGCCTGCAGTACTGCACTCTAACCACTGCGCCACCTTGGCTCGATTTATTTGGGGAATATGACTATATGACTATTCATTAAATGTATATGCCATCCATCACACTATAAGGCAAGTCTTAACATCCCAGCATTCACAAGAATATCAAGGTGATATTACAAAACGGGGGTGGGGGGGGGCTAAATATTTCTGACCAATTCTTTCATTCATCTTTATGCCCAGTCTTTCTCTAGTCTCCCCACAATCTCTCACAGGAACCATCTTTGAAGAGCAATAGGTTGGCCTTTATGAATGAAACGTTAACTATTGATTAGCGTACCTCTTTCCTTCGTTAGAATCAATTCTGTCAATACATGAATATTTTAAAAAAATAAATAATGCATGTTGATGGATATACTACACAGATATAGAAAATATTATTTCTGATTTACATAGGAAATTAAAAAGGAAAGAAGGCCAGAGAACCGATGCCCAAATGCAATATTTAAACCCTTTTAAAATTCCTGCTAAAACAATTAAAAAGCACACTCATAAGAATATTTAGGGAGGGGGGAATCAATGAACACAGAACTATCTTCAGATCTTAAAAGAATAAAGCATGATGTAACATCACCACCTTTGGAGAAGTGTGGTTTTGTTAACGATTTTGTTTTTATGACTCAAAGCACATTCTACTAATTAAGTCAGAAAAACAAGATGAACGGAGATAAAACATGAACTAAAAACCAAAGAATGACATCTGGGTACTTTGTGAGCTTATCATAATGAACCACTGGCAATGCCTCTTTAAAAAGGCATCTCATTGCAACCAGAGTTTAGATTTAACTAGATATTTAAGCAATTCATTGTTAAACAGAAAAAAAGAGTAGATCACAGTACCAATAACATTGAGAATTGTTTTCCAGCAACTTTTCCACCATGTGTTCCACACGAACAAACCAGCTTGGAACCGCTTTATATATCAGAGGTGTATCTGACCTGAAAGAAATTGAATAGACAGAAAAAAATGTGGGTTTTTTTAAACTATTCTGCAAAGTTTGAATGACCATATTTGGTTTCCATCTAAAAGTTAATGGATAGATTCCAATTGATTTTGTGTGAAATATTATTGTATCTGTTGCAGCCAAATCTAGCTAAATTGTTTATAATAAATGTTTTAGTACATCAACATATACTCTTTTAATGAAAACTATCAAAGGGCTAGATTCATTATGCCAACCTTAGAACTATTCATGAGTTTTTATATCTTGCAAACAAATGTATTTAGCTACAGCTGACTTAATTTTATTGCCACACATAAACCAACAGACCCAGTTCCCCACTTTTCTATGTCTTGCCCATGATTAGCTTTAGTTCCATTCGCATTGCTACATGTTATTACTAGATGAGCATGAATGACAAAAAGCTCTTAAGTTGCCTCTTGTTTCGTGGATAATTCCTTTTAAAATCAGTAATGGAACTTGTATACTGGAGACAGCAGCAGTAAATATTGCAGGCAAAAGAATGAACCTTACAGAGAGAAAATATATGAATGTTAACTTTGGAATGCGTTAGAAGAAGCCACAGTCTTTCCTGTCCTTCTTTAACTTCCTCATTGTTGGAATATTTAACTTTGCATTCTATTTCATCAGCAAGATTGTTCAAACTGGCTCTGCAGTCATTCTGATAATCATTTTGTGTCTGCCTAAAGATAAGAGAAAGGGCCAATGCTAGAGAGAGGAGATGGTAAGCAAGCAAGAAAGGGTCATGTTGACATTTCAGGCAGTCAGACCATTTCCTTCTGTTTAGCAATCTAAGAATTGAGGGCAAGAAGTCCATGGCATATAGTGATAATGGTGACCCAGATACACCAATAATTCACACACCTCCAAAGCAAATATTTATTTTTTAGCATATTTATATGGACACCCTTTCTCAAAAGAACTCTGGACAACAGACTATAGAACAAAATAATAATCTTTCCTTAAAAATATTAAACATGTCCTTAATTATTTCACTAGCAGTATTGTTATACCGCTAGTGAAATACATGTTTAATGTTTTTAAGCTATACCTGCAATCAAATCAGAGCTCATCTTCAACCTGACCCCAATGCCTGGAAGAATGCCAAGATCTTCACAGTCTTCAAGGAGGCCAACTGGATTGGACTATCTGTATCTCAGAGAGGAGGTGGTTCCACAAAATAGGTGCCAGGACAGAGACAACATTTTTCCTAGGCTCCACCTAGGATGATAATACAACTTCCCATGCCCATTCTGCCTGATTTAGCGTGATGGGCAGACACTAGGGGAAGATAGCCCTTCACTAGGACTAGGGGAAGATAGCCCTTCAACAACCTATCCCCATGTCATGTAGAGCCATTAAAGGGCACCCATGACAACCAGCCCATGCAGTGCACCCAGAACCCCTTTGGAAGCCAATGCAGCTCATAGGTGCCCTATATGGCATATTTTACTGCACACTAGACAGCTGAATTTTCCAATTGCTCTTTAAGGGAAGACCCATGTAGAACATGTGACAATAGCCCAAATGAGAAGTGACTAACGCTTGTCTGACCATGAGCAGTACCTTCTGATCTAGGCAAAACTGGTGTACAAGGCTACAATTACAAATGGCTTTCCTAGCCACGGCTGTTGTGAACAGAAACCATATGTGCAGCACAATATCCAAATTACACACCAACACTCCCTGCAGGACTGATACCTCATTCAGAATCAATGATGAAAAATCATTAGATTGGGGGGGGGGGGGAATGACATCACACATTAAAACTCACAGCTAATCAGACTTGTCAGTTTGATTCTTCCATATCCGGACCCACATAAACTCTAGACACTGGAGAAAAAATGCCTCAATGGCATCACTTGAGAGCCAGAGCTAAGATATATGATACTTGACCCCATGTTGACAGATGATCTCATCCAACGATTTCATGTTGATGTTAAATAGGAAGCCCAAGGGGAGCAACATTACATTAAACGTTTCTGTTTGCTGTATTTGCACCCAAGAGATGCAATTGCAAAAGTAACACCATCTGTTGGTTTCCGGTATTTGCGCAGTGCACATGGAGGGTCTTGTTTTACTTTTGATGCTGAAATTCAGGATATCTAGAAGGTGAAAAGGTAACCTTCAGAGGCACAGGCTACCCATGCACCCCTACATCGACTAACCCATCATTAACACAGTAAGTACGGTGCTTTATGTTTGACGTTAAATGTCTCGGTTTGTCTGTTTTCTTTATGTACATGTTGCTCTTTTGTTTGTGGAGGAATCAAAATAAATTTTAAAATGTCAGAGTCTATACAAGTTGTCCTGCTGAGCTCAGCGGGTTTCCTGTGGTATTCTATGGAGCTTTGTGCTACCAAGACCAGAAAGGAACTGTGGGGTTTTTTCCCCGATTCTGTTCGCTGCAGTTTTCTTTAGCAATGCAAATAGAAAAAGAAGAGTTGTTTTTGATCAGCAAGAGTCTGTGCATGACTCATCACTGCTCTTTTCCCGGGTATGCCACAGAGTATTGAGGATGTACATGCAATTTACATTTAGAACATCAATGCTGGAAGCCATGAGGAGAGGGAGTAATAATTTTTCAATTTCATTTTCTCAGGACCTCTTCTCTCTTAGGCATCAGCAGGGTTTTTTTCTATTGTACCAAGAGGTAGAAACTGAAGTTTTGTTTTCATTTTGTTTTTGTTTTGTTTTGTTGGGGGGAGGTGGCAGTCAACAAGGGTAAAATGAAAAATCCTTAAATACAATGGTGGAGGGAGACAGCATATTCCTGATTGGCCCAAACAAGTAGGCACATCTGAAATGCAATAGTGTGTGTGTGTGTGTGTGTGTGTGTGTGTTTTAGCATAACTCTGGAACGCCTCGAGCAATTTCAACCAAACTTAGTACACAGATGACTTATTCTCTAGAAAAATATAGTGTGGGGGTAAGACACTCCTAACCCCCCTCGGGATGCATGTTAAGATACAGCCTGTTGTGCCTTAAAATGGCTTCTGCTGTACAGCACAATGGAGTTGCCATGGTAACAGCTTCACAGTACTCCACAAGGGGGCTCCCACTGGTAAGGGGGAAAATCCAACATTAGAAATTATGTTTGGTCCAGACATTCTCCCCCTATAAATAAATACCCAGGCAACGCCAGGTTATCAGCTAGTTTGAGATAAAAGTGGAAGAGAGCCAGTTTGATATAGTAGTTAAGGCATCAGGCTAGTTGGATAACCCTAGCTTTACTCTCAGCTCTAGGAAGAAGGCAATGGCAAACCACTTCTGAAAAACCTTGTCAAGAAAACTATAGGGATTCATCCAGCCAGGTACCAGGCTCAAAGGTATTCCCCCCATTCCACATTGAGATAAAGCATTTTCCATTTCATGTACACCTATACTAGTATTCTATTTGTAGAATACTAGTACATATATTTGAATATAATTTTTAATTTTTGAAGAAGAATATATAAGTTTTAATTTTTGAAGAATATAGTAGCATGATTTTTTTCAAAAATATGTGATTAAGCAGGACACTCATTTTAAACTTGTGTTGCACTAAAACTTCTCACCTCCAGCAGAAAGGATAGCTGTGCTTAAAAGTGCTGATATGGACCAATCTTCCTCGTTCCTTTAGCACTTTGATTATATTTTTATCTGCGTCCTAGCAAAAAAAAATTGTTAAGTTTAACATGAAGCCAAAATATCTTGCAGGGAAAAATAATTTGTAAATTGGTAGCCATTTCCACTGTATTAAACAATACTATTGAAAAGCAGTACTGTATTTAAAAAATCAAATTCTGGAAAATAGACACTTCAAAGTCAATTTAAAGTTCTTGAACACAGGTAAATTGCAGTATCTCACCTAGCTATTACCACACAAAGTGCTTGGGTTCATACATAATGGTTTGTTTTAGGTTGAATAAAATCAACAACATCATTGTGAATGAATTTAAACACCCTAGTAGGTCAAAAAGAAACATTATGTGTAATTTCATTGAATCTAAAGGGTCATTTATGAAGCTATTGTTGCAGAGCCAAGAGATCTAGTAGTTTGTCTCAAGAACAAGAGATTTAAAGACCTAGTCATTTAGACTGGAACTAGGACATGGAACAGTGATGGGTTCTGGATCCTGGTGCAACTGGTACGGTGCAACGGGGCCCGGTGTGCCCCACATGCAGGCATGCCGAGGTGGCGCAGTGGTTAGAGTACAATACTCCAGGCCACTTGAGCTGACTGCTAACTGCAGTTCGGTGGTTCAAATCTCACCGGCTCAAAGGTTGACTCAGCCTTCCATTTCATTTTTTTTTTCATTTATACTTTATTTGTATGCCGCCCTTTTCCCTGAGGGGACTCAGGGCGGCTCACAGTTGAAGGGGGGGGGGAAGACAGACAAGTTATAAACATAGAGTCATACACCGTTAAAAACACAACAGTCACACCATTCGAGTGGGGTTACAAGTCGTTAGCCCCATAGCCCCATGCATAGAGCTTGAAGCAT